AAACAAAAAAATTCAGAAGGTTGACTTTTGGCTTTACGTGTAAGTCATTTGCAATGTTTGGGATTATCCCATATAGCGACATCTTGGCCGGTATATCATAGAAACCGCGGTCAAAGCCCACAAACATAACTTTAAAATTTTGTGTCGGTTGTTCCCATGTGATGTAGAGTGTGGAGACTGACCATTGCAGCACCAACAGAACGCGAGTTTTAGAGATTCAGAATCAACAAACCACGCGCCGCCGAAACCCTCCAGTGTTGCCACTTTCCTCCACCACACCAGCTACCACCATGTGAAACCAACATCCCTAACCATGATTCTTACCACAAATAAGTGTTTTTAGGGAAGCTTTTGAATTAGAATTTCAAATCAGTAATTTATGTCAACATATGTTAACCATTGTATTGTTTAAATTATTGAAACAAAACTTTAATTTTAAAAGTTTTGGTATATTTTAAATAATTTTCCATTATTTTATAAAATTAATATTGTATAAAAAGATGTATGTTTATTATTTTAAAATTAGAAATATTTAATAAATAAAAAATATAGACACAAAAGTAAAAATATTTACATTACTTACTTTGTCTAATTTAATTATTTTGATATAATAAATATTTTATTTTTACTAAAAATTTACTACTTATAAATGATTAAAAAGGATTGAGGTTTGTAAAGTCATTTAATTTAATGATAAATATACAATTGTATTAATCACAAATCTTAAAAATTAAGTTGAAAATATAAGAATAGTAATTTTTAAAAATATTTAAGAGTTTGAACATATTTTTAAAATAAAAAAAAATACTTCTTTTAACTACTAAAACTTAATGTAAAAAGTTGAGAATAACAAAAAACTGATAAATATGTCATCATATTCACTTTAAGAAGCGTTATCCGTAATATAATTATTAGGAGAGTTTGAAGACAAAATATACAGTACTGAAACCAAATGTGTCGATCCCACCTCTTTAATGTTACTGCCCAAGAACTAATTAATCATCCAAGATAATATCTATGCAATAACTCATCATTGTGAATTCCTGCTAGTTTGATTGAAAACAATTGCCTGAAGCACATCTTCAAGAGTTAAGGACATTTTGAAACAAAAGTCATTTAATTAACTAATGATTATTGTGCTAACTGAGTACTCCAAGACAGTGCAATGAGACTATTATTGGATAAAAGAGAGGCATGAAGACAATAAGGGTGCGGTGGGCCAATATGCTAAACTGTTTAATACCAAGTTTGGTGCAGTGTGCTGCGTTGGTTCATAAACATTGATATTATTTGTTTGAATTGAAGTTGCTATTATTTGAGGGGGGAAATATGAATGTATTGATTGTATGATTTACTATATAGTTGTACGTGATATTGGAAATAATATGAATTAGCTGTAATGTTTTTAATAGTGTATCTTAGCATATATTTTGAACAGAAAGAAATTAAGAATCTTTCAGTGAAAATAAAAGGAAATTCTCTAAGAACAGAAGTAGTTGGAAATTAAACGCAGTAATTATGTGTCGATGATAAATACACGCTTCCTTATCTTATATTATCCCTAGAAACACAATGCTTTTTATGGACAAGCCATTCACAAATTTAAAGAAACAAAGGAATCATCAGCATTCATCATGATTTATAATAAAGTGATCGTTAGTACTTTAGACAGCCAAAAAAAGTGATGGTTTACGGGCATAAACGTTGAAAAGTTTTATAAAATATGGAATAAGCAGAAAAAGAGGGAAAAGATGAATAAAAAGAAGAAAAATACAAAGAGGTAAGGTTAAAAATGAACAATAAGGTAATTGGATTGGGTAATGCAAAAAAACAAAGAGGCTTAGCAAGCAACGGTTGGTCATTATAGCATATGGTTTGGGAGGAGTGTGTTAGAAGCAATCATGGAATATACCAAAACCGCGTAAAGTGCATTTGCTTTCAAGTCCTGTTTCAGTCAAAGCTAGCCGTCCGATGCAACACGTAGGATCTACACGATACCCGATGCATCCACGTGTACCCGCACTGGCAGTGGGCCCGCCCCTGGCAATTGGGCTCCACTACCTTGCATTCTGAGGTCACGTTGCTTACTCACAACAGACATTTAATATAATATCTTTTTTTTTCCCTTAAATTAGTTTATTTATTTAAAAATCAATAAAATGAATATAATATTTTCTTTGCTCGAACTTAATACCTAGGAAAACAAAATTAAGCATGTATACAACGTCAAATTTCTGATATTCAATTTTTGTTAATACAAAAATTGTTAAGAATTTAAATTTCTTATATAAAAAAGTGTTATTGATTTTAGAACAACTTTTTTATATATAGAAAATACTTGTAATGTAACTAAAATTAATAATAGAAAGTAGAAAAAGATTTTTCCTTAAAAGGTACCTTTTAAGGAGCATTGTTGTCGTTTTTGTTAAAATAGTTAAAAATAATTATTTGAATAATGTATAAAAACATTATTGTCTGATGAAAATCTATAGCACTGAAATTGTTTTCAATTTAAATAAAATTTAGTATTATTACTGAAAGGAGTTGAAATCTTCATATACTATTGCTTAATTATCTACATGGGTTTTGTTAAGTTTAATTTTGAGAATTGAGTTTAATTGTTTAATAATAATAATATTTAGTATATTTTTAATATAATTCATTTTTTTAATAGATAAATTCAGTTCTAAACATTCAAATTAATAAAAATATATATTAAATATAGTTTTTAACTTGTATAGCATTGTGTATAATAAAAAATAACAAGTATTTAAAATTACAGTATTTAATAGTATTTGTGCATTAAATTATATTAAACTTTATAATATTTTAAAAGTATCAATATTTTTTTATTAAATACAATATTATATTAATAAAAAAACTAATACAAATATGCATTATTTTAACTGTAATATGAAAATATAATTAAATAAAAAAGTAATAATCCACCTAACTCGAAGGCGCATTAAATTGTATTAAGAGCATTTATGGCTGTCTCAACAATTGCTTCGTCAGAGCTCTTGCCCCGCGTTGTAATAATATTAATAATAAATCTGTAAAGTGGGAGAAATGTAAAAGATGTAGTAATATATTATTTTTATTATTAAATAACATTTGCTTTGACTCATCAAATAATGAGAGTTTTTTTATAAAAATATTAATAATATATATTATAATTGATTAATTTTGTAAAAAACTATATAGAATAATTTAACAATTTTTATTCATATCTTTACAATTTTAATAAAATTAATAATTAAAATGCATTAATGAATGCTTTTTTTAACTCTATTTCCATAAAAAAATTACATTTAATATTTGCTAAATAAGAATTTATATAAAATTTTTGATGTTGAATTTAATGGAAATAACTTTTAAAAAAACTATTTAGATATATTGTTAAAATAAATGGTGAATTTGAATAAAAGTAATAAAAGTGTGTCATACTTGATAATAATTGAATAAGTTATAGGTGGATTTTGTGAGGAATGGGTGACGTGGAAATGATGTCAAGAAATGCAAAGCTTTGGGTTGGCGAAAAAGAAAGTCAGGCATGGAAGGCACGTGGCGAAGCTTCTTAGAGGCGACGACGGTCATAGCAAGTCACAACCGAAAACATTGTACGTGTTCCTTCTTAATTTGTTTTTCCCTTCAACTTTTATTTTTCATTCCTTTTTTAATACTTTTTAATTAAAGTATTTATTTCCATCTCCAGCTTTAGCTTTTTTTCACTCTGCTTCTGCTAGTTGCTGGATTTTAACGTTCAAACGTAAGCGTTGTCTGCACGGAGACTCTTGTTCACCGGAATGCCTCTTTATTTTAATCAATTTTTTCTGACAATTAAAATGTTCCTTCATTGACTTAGTCCAACGATTCATTCTAATTTCTTACAATAACATTTTTATATATTTATATCTTATATTTACTTTATATATATATATATATATATATATATATATATATGATATTTTCTTAGTATGTCATATCACGGTCGTATGTCTTATCTTTATCTCTCTAGGTAAGTTTGGTGTAATTTTTTAAAAATAAATAGAGATTTTTTTTGTAAGAAAAAAATTCATAAAAGTGGTAAAAATAAGTGTTTATACTTTTGAAATGAACTGATCTAATACATGGTACATTTTATATTATGAAATGAAGCTACAAATTGGGCAGAATATTTAAGATACAAATAGGCTGACCTAGTAACCGTTTTTACTTTTGAAATTGAAGGATTAAGCTCACTGTATTTGAATTTTGAGTTATCAGTCTAAATCATGACAATTAAGACTTTCTTTACCATTTGTTGACTTAATCACCCCATATCATGTGTTACAATTTGGTCTGTATATTTAGCCAAATGTTGAAGTTGTTATTAAACTAAAATTAATATTTAAAAGATAAAAACTCTTAATACATTTTTTATTTAATTTTAATATTTTTACTATTGTCCGAGCTATTAGCATTTTAATTTTGTATCTAAAATGTTGTTCAAATTATTCACAAGCTGACTAATAGTATAGTTTGAAGTGTGTAGAATATTATTCTTAAATATTATTTTGGTGTAATAAAATTTTTTTTAAAATACAACAGACTCTTTATATTTAAATAAATAAAACTCTCAAAAATTAGTAAACTTTTCTCAATTCATAATCTAAAAAAATAATATAATAAAAAGCCTGTGTATTCATTTTGTGATTTTTTAAAAAAATTTAAAATATTTTAATTATTCACATAAACGTTACATATAACTAAAAATATGAATAATAATAATAATTAAATTAAAATAAAATAAATAATTAATAAAATATTTTAAAATATAATTATATTATTTCTTACATAAAATTCTATTTATCTCACTGTCTAAACATGTCAAGTTTGAGTAGCTAGTTTTGCTACATGTCAACTCGGATTCAGTGCCTTCGTTAATAGTTGGCAATCTCTCTAGTTTTTTTTTCTCACGCGTGAAGTTTTTTTGTTTTGTTTTTTCTTTTTTAAGAAATCAGTATTCTAACTTTTACATAAACTATTACTTAATTGTTTATTACATGCCTTATTTTTTTAAAAACAATTCTTCAGCTAAAAATACATTCACTAATGAGGATAAATTTACAAAAAAGTTATTTATTAGTTTTATAAAATAATAATTATAAAAAATAATAAAATTGCAAAATATTAAAGGAAAAAAAAAGAGTAAAACACCATAAAAAGAATTATGCAGTGATATAAAAACATACATCGTTAAATTTGCTCCCGTTAATATAGTTTTTAATTAATAAAAAATAATTTATTGAAATAAATGTTATAATCTACGTTATCAAATTTTGTGCTAATATAATTAATTTTTTAATTATATATTTATTTGCAATTATAGAAAACTAATAAATATTATTGGCACATCATTTCAATAATATAAATACTTAATTTTTTTATATTAATATATATTCGTTATTAATAAAAGGTGCGTATATAATATATACACTTAAATTTAATATTTTTCCGCACTTTGATTTATATGTAAAATTAGTCTTTTAATTGGTGTTATCTGCATTTAATTTATAGTTTCTTTATATCACATTGTTTTAAAAATTTAGAACATGATGATGAATTTAAGTCGGTTAAAATTACTTAACTCGAGATTATGTTAAAGTTGGATGATTCACGTGTGATTAGAAATATAAAGTATTTTATTTAATTATTATTATTCATTTTCATTATTTGTGTAATTTCCCAAACACTTTTTGCTGTAAGGGTCACCAATTGCCATATGTATTAATACGTGCACCTGTATATTTTTTCAATCAGAACTAATTTTTATTAATTCAAAAATGTAAATTATTAACATGAAACTGAAAATTTCTGTCAAGTTATGGAATCGTCAATCCAAGTATAGACGGAGTCAAGGAGAAGTTTCAACTGAGTATCGTTAAGTTAGTAAAACTGTTCAATAACATAAACTTATATTTTATTTGAAAGTTAATATTTTTTTAATCTATAAGCTAGGATAATTATTTGATGAACAAAAATGAAAAAAAATTATAACTTTTAAAAATTAATTTATAAAAAATTAATTCAAGCAGTATTTAATTTATTTTAAGTTAGTTTATTGATGTTTTCTAATTTTATCTTTATTTTTTAAAATATTTTTTATTCACACGATGATATTCAATAAAAGAAATAAATTACATAATATTTGTTACTCAATTAATTGAATTTTATTGAGTTAAACAAATTAAGTTAGAGACACAGGAGACAGGTAGTATTGGATTAGAAAGAGTGTTGATGAGATAATTTACCGAAAGATCCGAAATGTTATATTTATAGACGAAAAAAGCAATATAAAAAAGAGTTTAGGAGGCATAACTTAATAGCATTCAGTGTGTATAATGGTTACTAGCAAGTCTAATTTAGAGGTTTTTGATCAGATTAGAAAACGGAAACCTAAACTTGGAACAGTGAATTGAAGTACGACAGAAGGAACGTTACACTGAAGAAAAGGGTGAAAATGGGAGGAAGAGAAGTTAAAAGGAAAAAGCCGCGAAAAAGGAAAATAGAAAACGAGGCAGAAGACAGGACCATCACATGGCAACGATCAGAGCGGAAACTCCTTTACTTACATCCCACGTGTACACTCCCCCCGTTCACACTCAAACCGGTTGCCAGTCAAATAGCCGCGTCGAGTGGGACCCACCAATGGTCCTCTTTTGCAGTAAATGCTATTGCCATCCATCGTGTAATCGGAAACCGGCACATGTCGGTCACCGCCAAGGTGGGAAACCTCCCCTAGCCAACCTGTTTTCCAAAATCCCAGCCCCAACTCAACCAAATCAAAAGTCCTTTCACACACTCAAAATAAAAATATACCAATTAATTAAACAAAATAAATACCCCCAAACTATCACTTTCTTTTTTTTAGTGATATATATGATGATAATAATAAAACTACTAAAAAGCAAAAATAATGAAGAGGGTTACTTTTTGGAGTTTTTGAGGGGATTTAAATAAAAGAGAGAAAAATAAAGAATATGTGCAAAAGTTTTTGTTGATATATAGCACCTACAATTCATTAAAAGCAATGGAGGAGAAGAGAGAGAAGGAGGCAAAACCACCAAAGTCATCATCCACCATGGCAAATTCTGTCGCATTTTCCGATGAGATTCCGAACATGAGCATGAGCATGAGCACGAGCTTCAGCTTCCCTTTCTCACCCGCTTTGTCTAGCATCTTTGACATGATGCCACCACCACCATCTTCATGTGATGATCAAAAAGCTTCCAACTTTGGTGGCTTCATGGACTTGTTGGTTGCTCAAGATTATAGCCCTTCTTTATTCGATTGGCTCCCAAACTTCACCGCCACGTCAGCTTCCGCCACCCAAACCACCCACCCTCTTCCGTCGCCGGCGAGCTCCAATGTCCCCGACGGCTCCGAAGTCTTGAACACTCCGGCGTCCCCCAACTCCTCTTCGATTTCGTCCTCCTCCAATGAAGCTCTCGTCGCCAACAAAGCAACGGGGAATGAACATGAAGCAGAGGACGAAGACGGAGATGCAGGCAAAGGAGAGGATCAAGATCAAGACAAAACTAAGAAACAGTAAGTAGTAATTAACCTTTTTTTTTTTTTGTTTCCTTAAAAAAAGAGAATTATCTATGGTATTCAATGTGTTTGTGTCAAATAATAAAAAAATGAGGATAAAGTCGGTTACAGTTGCAAATAGACAGAGGGTGGTGATTAGTGACATTTGATGGAGATTAAGGAAGTGTATGTTCATTGAACTTCCGTTATTATTGTTGTTAGTGTCATTTCTCTCTGGGTTTTTTTTTTTTTTTTTTTTACTTTTGATTTTTTTATTTGTTGGTATTATTAATGAACCCAAAACAAAAAAGCAAAGAAAAAAAAAAGCATGTTAATTATTGGTTTTGCTAAAATTCTATTCCGGTATTCCAATTAGGCTGAAGCCAAAGAAGAAGAACCAAAAGAAACAAAGAGAGCCAAGATTTGCGTTCATGACAAAGAGCGAAGTGGATCATCTAGACGATGGCTATAGGTGGCGAAAGTACGGTCAAAAAGCCGTAAAAAACAGCCCACATCCAAGGTACCATAAAATAAATAAACACTCCATTTTATAAAATCTTAGTACTCTCGATTTGCAATTAAAATTAATTATTTTTTTCTTGCGTGGCACGCAAAAACAGGAGCTACTATCGTTGCACCACCACGGGTTGCGGCGTGAAGAAGCGCGTGGAGCGTTCCTCCGACGACCCGTCGGTGGTGGTCACCACCTATGAAGGGCAACACACCCACCCTTGTCCTGCCACGTCACGGGCTAGCCTCGGGTTCATGCACGAAACGGGTGGGTTCGGACCCACTAGTGGACTCGGGGGTTCACCCCACTATTTGCTGCCACAACAACACCAACACTTTCGGGACCAAAATGTGCAACAACAAGCAGTAGCAGCAGCAGCTTTGTTATACAACTCCACCTCATCATCGCCTTTGAACATTGTTAACTCGGCTTCTAGTAATTTTGCCAATACATCGTTGTTTAGTGGCTTCCTTCAGGATCAAGAGAATCTTCGATGCTTTGTGCCGTCTAGGTTGATGGGTCCTCAGGCTTTGTTAAGGGACAATGGGCTTCTTCAAGACATTGTGCCTACGCAGATGAGGAAGGAGGAGAAGCAAGATCACGAGTAGGTGATGATGATCATGATGATATATTCATATATTGGGTTTAATGATGGTACTTATGATAGCTATTAGTTAGTTTTAATTATTAATTAATTTCCTGTATATTATTTTTATTATCTTGGTATGATATATGTATGGTTCTCTAACTGATCATATGATGAAGGCCTCTGGGGTGTTTTGTGCTTTAGAGGTTAACGTAGAGAAGCATCGCTTTTAGTTACTTTGTGTTCATATGAAACATTTTGGAGGTTCTCACTTTTTATGGTTAGATGGAGGGGGCTTTAGATTCTGATTTTGCTACTTTAACTTTTTCTTCTCTCTTTCCTTCTATGGATTATTCTTTGTAACTAGATATTTATTCGATGATGAGCTATTTTTATCCTTTAAAAAACTTTTTTTTTGTCTCATTTTTCTCGTGTCCACTGCATTATTAATTCTTCTTCAGTTCTCTAACTGATTATTCATGGTGGAAAGCCAACATTTTTAGGGTTAGGGTTTTACTTTTTCATAAATTTGTACAATTACTTGCATGTGGAGAAATCTTTTAGCTAGCTGCATCTTTTCCCAATCAGATACTTATGGCAGAGACTTTATGGGAAAAGAGAAGTCAAGAACGTAAGTTTATTAGCAAAAGGAACTGGAAACTCTACCTATATACGATGAGAGAAATTTAAGAAAAAAAAAAAAAAGATGAAAACTTTGGATCAGAGAGTGTTATGATTGTCCCATGACTTGACACCATGCATGAGGTATGGAAAAAGTTGTAACATTATTACTTGAGTAGTACCGTTTAGCTTTTTGTATGATGGCTTTTCTCATCATCTTCCCCTATAAGCTAGATACAAAGATGGGCTTCAGCCATTCAATGATGATGTGTGTTTCCTGGGAGAGAAATAGCTAGAGCATGGTTCGTTTCTTGTTGATGGCAATTTGGCTAAAGATGAATGATGTGAGATATTGGTGTGGAGAAAAGTACTAATATATGTAAGGTTCTTATGCCCTAGTATAACAAAATAGAAGTGTTGTAATAGTAGAAGAAGCCATTGGCCATGCCACTATCCCTTTCCCATTTGGAAATTTTCAGCTCACATGAAATGCCCAAGCTACTTGATTCTCACTCGATTTATAATCACACCTAAGAATATTGTATATGCCAATTAGTCATCCAGCTAGCATTATATAAATTATGGAAATTGAATTCTACCGCTAGTTTAGTTGCTTTGTATCACTTCTCAAGATACAAGGTATGTGTGAATAGCCTTGGTCGAACGGACAAGAAAAAAGGGCACATTGTTTAAGGGACACGGGAATTAGATTAATTGACGTTCAACACCTTGGTGCTAATTCAAAAAGAAAAATTGGAGTTTCTTCCAGATTGTGTTTGACAAAAAAGTCATATAATTGTTATAATATATATAGATAGTTCTAATGCCATAGTTTTTATCAACTTAAAAGAAAATTATTTTTTGTCGAATAAATAAGATCAACTTATGTTGGCTCATCTAATTTTCTGTACTGTTTCAGATTCAATTTTGTCAAGAGATTGTTTAGAGTTAAATTGGAATGATATTATATTTTCAAGATAAAGGGGGATCGTTGTTTAAAAATATTATATTGAACTGATATTCTTTAAAATGAATGAATGAATGAAAAGAATATAGACATATACGGTAATGGACTCGGTTTTTTGTAACCACCCAATAACACGATGAATTTGGAAAGAAGCCATGATTGATTTAAGTTCATGTTATTCGAGTTTGTTAAAAGTTTCCGAATTTTTATTTTTTCCCTTACCATTGTAATTGGCTGTTTTAGAGGTTTAGTTTCCAATTCCTGATACCTCAAAGGGTTAATTTGTGATACTCTTCGTTGTGATTTTCATCAGGTTGATTTGAAGTGAATTAAAATATGAAACAGTTGAATTTAAACTTGCTGGAAGTTTGAGAATGCTGCGTTATTAAGATAAACTAGCTGAAGCACTCAGCAGGAATTAGGAGGATATGGATTCTTGTAAGTAAAGGATCCTTCTGTGTTTCATTTATACTCGATACTTGCCTCAACATGAGGTTTGGTAATATAGGAAAGCATTCCACAGACACTACCAGCCGAACAGGAGAGTTTTATTGAAAAAGCAAATTTGTAGGGTGTTAAATCGTAGTTCATAACCGCAATTATTGTTTCAATTTTAAAGATTTTTGCAATCACATCGTGACCACAATTACGATTATATCGATCTGGTTCATTTGATTACTCCCAATTTCATACAACAGTAATGTAATGTTAACCACTTGACGAATATGCCATGGTATAGTATGACAATTTTCTTCATTTTCGTACATTAAAAATTTTGTACAATTAAACGTTTTTCTTCGTACAATATTACTTATCTCAATGTAACGTTAAAGCAACTACAATGTAAAACCTTTTCGTAATTGGCATGCAAGTAGTCATATGAACACAAATAGATAAGGAAGAAGAAAATAGAAAGTAACCACTTAAATAAAATGAAAAGAAATTCGATGTGATGAAGCTTTACACATTTTCCCACCCTGTCGCTGGTTAGTGAATATTCTCTACTCGAAGCAATGAAGAAAATGTTATCCGATATAAATTATAGCCATATGGAGCATGACTTTTTTTTGGTATTCCTAAACTTTCCAGCCATTAAACTTTATGTTATCGAATTGCAAAAGGCAACAGAAAAGTCGTATCTACTTGTAATCCAACTGTTGGAGTGCCAATTAATTTGATGCTTCAGAGAAATCGAATCAAGGAAGTGAGAGGTCAAGTCATTTGCATACAACCCATATGATTCGTTGGAGGCATCTGAATCCAAAGTCCAGTAGAAAGAGTTACTCATTCTGTAGCCACTAATTAAATGCCACACCATATATGCAATTAACGCATTTAGTTTGCGTGGAAACAATATTTACTTTACATTCTAAATTGATGTATATAATTGAGTAGCCTTATCTTTTATTAAATGACACACCCATTAAGATAAGTTTCAGAATCGGTGGAAAACTCCGGTGAGTTTTTCTTTCAACAATTTCTTTATTCCTTACTTGTTTTGCAAGTTTAGGAATATGTCGGACAAAAGCAGTGCGTGTTAAAATGTGGCAACCAAAGTGTTGGTTAACTTCTTGATGGAAAACTCTTCAACTTTTCAAGCTTCATAGTCACTTTATCTAACTATGATTCTGAAATAAAAAGGCCCAAACAAGAGGGGGGGGGGGGGGGAACGGATCACCCATCAGTTTCTAGCAAGAAATTAGACAAAGATCGATGATTCTGAATCATTAGAATATTTTGGTGCATAAAATCTTTGATATGTCATTACATAGAAGATGTTTTAGATATAAAGAATTAACATCTTCAGTGTATATTAAGGACGGAATTAACATGTGTGATGGTCATAACATCTTCGGGTATTACTCTTTATTTACGACGTCTAATTATTTACTGTCTAATTATTCTTCAAATCTTCATTAAGAAATGCACTATTTAAAGCTCTGAATCTATCCTTCTGGTTATTTATTATTAGATGTACTTGTTTTGGGTAAGCTTAATGACTTCGACTATGATCGGGCTTTTAATATTGAATTCATATTTAAATAATTTAAGGAGTTTTGAAGGGAAGAAAGATTGAATAAAAAAAATTAATTTTAAAATTAGAGTTTTACAGTAACTATGAAACTAATTAACAAGCATTTCGTGTGCATTGTACTCGTGTTTTATTAATTTGTATAAAATTTTCAAATATAAATTACAAGAAAAAATAAAAATAATAAAGGAAATATACACAATTAATACAAATGCATGAACAATAAAAATAGCCCTTATTCAGGAAGAAAAGGTTAAATTTTTAACAAATTAAAATAATTTATAAATAAATAAAATTTCAGATATAAAATTTTCACATCAAGTAATTTTTAAAAATAGTTATTTTAAAATATAACATTTAGAAAAAACTAACATATAAAGAAAAAAGAAAACAATAAAAATAAGTTTTTAAAAAATTATTATTAAATAATAATAAAATTACGTGTCTTTAAAAGAATGAATATAATATGAAATATCTTCACTTTTAAAATTGGTCGGAGTGATAAGTGACTCAATATCACTTAAGTAAGCTCTCGAATTTAAGTTTTTATATATACAAAAAAAATTTAGTGGTAGACTCACCCATCACATTCAAGTGCAATAAACTCATTCACAACGTTTAAGTGCGCAACTCAATCAAGTTCGGATTAAATCGAATAAAAAAAATTATATTTTATTATATAAAAAGTGGATTAAGGAATTATTTGACAATTTCATAATAATCTATCATTTTTTTATTTTTTTTAACATTTATTTTAAGTAAAGAATTTTCTCATTTTTGTTTGTCATGACATGTCCTATCACAAACATTCATATCTTCCTAAAATGAGCTGTGTGGGTCATTGAAATAGAATATAATAAGAAATTCATCAAACTCTTCTTCAATATAATAATTTTTTGGTGACAAATTTCAATACAACATTAAGAATGATGATTTTTACCACTTTATTTACAGTTATTTTATCTTTTTTATTTTTTTTCTTATTTTTATTATCACATGTCCTATTAAATCTTCTCTCTTTCTTTTTTTTATCATATACTATTACTTGCAATTACATGTACAAGTGTAAAATGAGTGTAACTTAGCTCTTTTTCATTAAAAGGTGTTCGTAATTCAAAATTAATAATAATTATATTTATTGAGTGAGCTTAAAATAATTTAAAAAATGAATAAAATTCTTTCTATTATGTTTTATAAGTTAAAATTAATTTATATTTTTAAATTTTATTTTTATTTTCTTTTTTAAAATTTAAAAAAAATAAATTATTTTTAACTTATAAGAAAAGTTTTACTTATTTTTAATATTAATTTTTTTCTTAAAAAACTTATCCGTTAACCAACCAAGGCTTATATCTTTCTTTCTCTCTTTTCACATAATTTATTACTTTTTTTTTCTTTTTTTTCTCTTTCATTCTCTTCTTTTTGAGTGTACGACCATCATTATTCCAAGATTAATGAATCAGCATCATGTGTTATATGCCTGGTGTACTTGATTTAACTTTCCAACGTAACTTTGTTTCTTTCTATAGAATTTCTGGCCATAAAACACGGCAAGACATAAGGAGAGATCTTTTCCTCTATGTTCTCCCTTAATCCAAGTGGATTTGGAGCTAATGATCGAATTGTCTTGCTGCCAATAGCATCATCATACAATAGTGATATTTTCATTTCAGCCACAAACTTCAAAAACAAAAAATGAAAGAGAGAAAAATGTACTGAAGCTACTTTGAATGCCTTTTCTTTTTTATGAATTAAGGATATTTCTCAATTGACATTGTCGAAAATTAACAACTATCAAAGTAGAGAGATCAGTAATTTAGTTTAAATAACAGAGACACGGTGAACTGAAACTTTTAATCTTGAATGAGGACTGGGTCATATAATAGTAACTGAACTTTACTGCCACTTCACTTGATACCTGTAGCAGAGGAAAGAATCTAAACGGAATGCAAAGGCACATGGCATTAGGTGATCACACTTGCTAACCACTTCTTATCCTTGACTGCGTCCTACCACTAAGTTCCTATATATAGAAGAGAAGCGTTCAGCATTCCAATTCAATAAACATTCCATATTATTCACAAGATACTATCACAAGGAATAGTTACTATACCTAAATATGGCCATGCAATTGGTATTATTGTGTCTAGTTGTACTCAAGCTCACTCCAACATCTGCAAATACCTTGAATGAAGCCTATGGAGATGATAGTGGGTGCCCATTAGGGACAGGCATATACCAATACACTTGCCCTGAAGCTGAGGCCATAATCTTCTCTTGGGTGGAGCAAGCAGTGTCTGAAGACTCGAGAATGGCAGCTTCACTGCTTAGGCTACATTTTCATGACTGCTTTGTCAATGCAAGACATTAGTTGCCTGCACATATTAATTATATCTTATTTAATTTGTTGTGAAAATCTCATGATTTGTATTATATTTTTGGTGGCCATTTTCAGGGTTGTGATGCTTCAGTATTGCTAGATGACACAGAGGAGTTTGTAGGTGAGAAAAGTGCAGGTCCAAACTTGAATTCACTCAGAGGATTTGAAGTAATCGACAAAATAAAATCAGAACTAGAATTAGTCTGTCCACAGACTGTCTCTTGTGCTGACATACTGGCAGCTGCTGCCCGAGATTCAGTTCTTCTGGTCTGTCACTGCTGCCTTCTTGTCCAGACCCTCATTCCTCTCCTACCCAATCTCTCTTTCCCCATCTCTAGACATATATACATGTGTGAAATTACTCAAATTAGAACATTTAATTATTGTGATAAATAAAAACGATGTTTTTTTAAGTAATTTTGTAACAACTAACATTTAATATTCAACATTCATGTATATGATTATACAGTCTAAATTTATAATTATTACATACTTAGAAGAATGAAAACTATTTTCGCTATATGTGTAGAAGAAATATATCTAGTGAAAATAATTTCTATTTTAATATAAATCTAGATCATATAACTATATATTTATGCTCAATACTAAAAATTAATTAGTAGTGATCACTTAAAAATATTGTGTTATTCATTTAATCTTGACCATTTGAAAAGATTTTAATAAATTCATTGTTCTAACAATAATAATATTCTCACTGAGTAATTTCTTATATATACTCAAATAAAAATACTTGATTATAGTAAGAAATGAGGATAATGAATATATATCATTAGATCTTATTTAAATAATTAAGATCAAAAGAAAATTTAAATAATATTTTTCAAATATATAATTACTGACATAATAAGGACCGTTCATTTATAGTTTGTATAGTGTAAATTGACTCCTTATATATGTATTATTTCCAATTATTCTGACTATGATGAAGCATAATGAACAGTCCGGAGGTCCAATTTGGGAGGTGAAAATGGGAAGGAAAGATGGTATGACTGCTAGTAAGGAAGGAGCAAATAATAACATCCCAGGCCCAAACTCCACTGTGGATGTTCTCGTCGCTAAGTTCCAGAGTGTAGGCCTTACACTTAAAGATATGGTCGCTCTCTCAGGTTAATCATCTTTACAATTTGTTATTGACATGCTAATAGAGATCTTTCCCATGAGTTGGAAACAATATTATAATTGCAATTTTTTTACCCTTTTCCCCTTATTTTCAGGTGCTCACACAATAGGAAAAGCACGCTGCAAAACATTTAGCTCTCGTTTACAGAGAAGTAGCGACTCAGATAGTCCTAATGCTAATATTGATTTCATCACTTCATTGCAACAGTTATGCTCAGGACAAGACAATAGCAACACAGTTGCACACCTTGACCTGGCTACGCCAGCTACGTTTGATAATCAATACTTCGTTAATCTTCTTTCCGGGGAGGGATTGCTCCCATCAGATCAGACTCTCGTTAATGGGAATGATCAGACACGACAGATTGTTGAAACCTATGTAGACAACCCATTCGCTTTCTTTGAGGACTTCAAGTATTCAATGTTGAAAATGGGAAGCTTGGGATCACTTACACAAAGTAAAGGCCAGATTCGTAGGGACTGCCGAACTATTAACAAATTTTAACCTTTTATTTTAAGTATAAATAATTATAATTCTCAGGTTGTTATTATCCTACGTAAAAGCATTAGTTAAATGCTAGTGAATTATTATGAAGAATTATGTTGCACTAGGGGAAAAGTATTAGTTATTACTTGAATCGAACTTTAGTTAAATTCTTGTTAGCACCGATAAGGGCCACTAGTACGCAAAAGGCATTATCACCGCTGTCACAGATTTTCAGCAGGTCGTACTAAATACTAAAATTAGAACAAAACCGGCAAGTTCTTTAGATGCCTTTTTTTTTTTTTTTTTTTTATTTCAATAAAAACATAGGTCGTTATTTATTGCCAATCCTCCTCCAAGTCCTCAATGTTGAAGTATAAAATATAATAACCGTTATGTTTCTATTAGGAAACCTAACAACACAAGCACCTAACAAGTTTTATCTCTAATATTAATGGTTTACTTAAAAATTTATATTAAAAACAAAGTTTATGTTACAGGACGATCTGGGTACGTCATTTCCTTGCCATGTATATTGAATCCGACATCCTTAGTGCTGAGCGAGCAAGTGATAGTCAAACCTCAACAATGAGGACCATAATAACTCGTGAATGCAAATAAAGTGTTACATGTCACCTAGGATCAAAATGAAGGTGGTGGTCCCCTACCTTTAAGCATTAGACAACAGATTCTGTTCCTCAGCCATTTAAAAGCTGCAACATCTGTGTCACCTCAGGCTCAACCCATCAAAGTTTAAACTCCTGGAGGTGAAAAAGGATACCATATGTTAGCAGTGAAATTATAAAAATAGTAAATGGAGGAAAGTAGAAACACATAGTCTGACAAGTTCATCTCTTTCAAACATCCACAACAAACCCAAAGTAATGATAACATGTGATATACTATCTAGATTCAAAGTACAAAACAATTCATATGCATTACTCTGAACCAATATCTTTTATCCCGTTACAGAAGACAGAAAAAAAAAGCAAGATGACAACAAAAAAATACAACTTGTGTAGTTTGTGCGCAGAGTATTCAGGGAGGGAATATTCGAGTGAGTTTAAACTGGAACCTGCAGTTTAATTTTTCCAAATCAACTCTTGTGTAGAATGAATACCCTGAAATGGATTTAGGAAATAATATTAGACCGAAGGAGAATAATAAAATAAATGAAAGGTGTGAAGTGTAACTTAATAACTACCTGAGAATACCGTCCAGGATCACCAGCAGAAATAACCGATGCATGTAACTGTTTATAACCAATTTCCTGAAAAGCCAAACAACTTTCAGATGTACACAAACAAAAATGAGCCACTTAACATTGACAATTCAAAGAGCAACAGGGGCTACATGTATAAACCATGACCATGAGGCACATCATACAGCACTTTTACAGTTGTTAAGCAAGTTTTGACAAGGATTTAGCATTTACCTGAGCACTTTGATGACCTGCAACTCCATATGCCTGGAATTAAAACAGTAAAAAGGAAAGTCAGTAACATAAAATAATCTTGATGCCAAAAGGAAGGATGTCCATATGCAAAAGAGATGCTTACTGAAGAAGACAAAGGCTGCTGTATTTGTTGATGATGGAGAACCTGCCCTTGTAGATGACTTTGAGGCTGAACCTGTTGGATTTGTGCAACTTGCTGGGCAGGTAGTAATGAAGGTTGTGACTGAGTTTGAGATTGCTGCACTGAAGACCTTTGCTGTTGCTTTTGCTGTTCATATAATGTCAACTCCTCAGGTTTCTCCCACTACAGGTTCCACCAAACATTAGTTCTACAAATAAAATAAAAATACTGAATAATGGCAACTAAAATAATTCTTACCCGACTTTCACCAGTGACACTGTTATAGTAGTACTTGAAGCCCTCAGGAGATATATGCTCTGTCCAATTACATTTAGCAAGAACCATGTTCTGACTTATTGCTGGTAAGGTACTAGTAGCACTGGCAGGTGTGGATGAAGGCACATCTGCAGCAGGTACAGCTGCATGAGTGCTGACTGCTGCCTGAGCCACAGTTCTAGCCCATTGAGACTACAAGAATAAAAATTTAGCACATAATCATTATTATGAAAGCATCCACTGATGAAAAATAATACATTCTACATCCTAGCTAGCACCACTAGAAAATTAAACAGCTTAAATGTCTACAACCAGTTCGAGTAGACACGAGAAAACCTAAGTATTGTCAAATCAAAAATTCAATTCAAAGAATACAACTCATGGAAAATTTGAAAATATCAAGAAAATTTCTTGTTGTATAACTTATTTGAACCATGCTTTAGAGATCAGTCTGATCAAAGCAAATTAAGCAAGAATACCAATGTTCAATCGTAACCTCACAATAGACAAGATGTTGAATGACTGATAGAATGGAAACAGCTAATTTGAGGCAAAACTTTTAACTAAAAATACCTGCTTTTTAGTAGCTTCTGCATTTTGCTGCAGTGCTAATGCTTGACTAGAAGGTTGCATCATCTGTAACTGTTGTTGAAGCTGGGAGAATGCCTGCTGAGATGAATGAAAACTTGCCTGTAAAGTCTGTGTTTGTTGTGACAACATCTGAGCTAATTGAGAAGGGGACTGCTGAAGAGGTTGAAGTGGCTGCTGCTGCACAGAGGGAGGAACTTGCTGTTGATTTGGAGTAGTCAATGCAGTACTTGATTGCATGTTGGTATCAAGAGGGGTCTGAGGAATTGCAGCAGAGAAAGTACTCTGCTGAGTTTGGGGCTGAGAAGTTGGAAATTGCCCACTTATTCCATGTACTGGCTGAGAAGTAAGAGGACCAGCAGAGAGGGGAAGTTGTGGCTGACCATGCTGCCTAAGAGATGAAAGTGTTGACGTTTGTGGATAGGGCATCGGTGCTTGAGGATACAACTGGTGCGAAGGTGGCAATTCCTGAGATGATTGAATAGGTTTCTGCAATGGTGATCTTTGTTGATTGACTGGTGGAATTTGTGGCATAGGCTGGTTGAAATTCTGAAAGTCATAAATTTAGTAATATGTTTGAAGTTAACAGAAAGGCAGTGAAGCTTAATTATTAATGAGGAATGCTAACTACATATCCTATAACCCTTTTTTTAAAAAAATGCCAACTATTGGCTGAAATTTATTGGGAATCATCCAATCATAAGGAGGATTAAGTAGGGGTAGAGACCTACATGATTTTGTAATTCCCAATAATTTTCAACTAATACTAATGTGTTTGAAAGAGTACATTGCTAGCATTTCTCATATTATTAATTAAGTTCAATTTTATGCTGAGAATATCAATAGTCAATATATACCTGCTGTGGCATTGATGACAGAGAGTGAATTTGAAAACGGCCATCAAGGGGGCCTCCCAAGCCAGTCATAGGACCACCCTATAGTTGTTTAAGCACAGTATAATCAATGGATGTCATGGACGGCAAAATACTTGAAAAATAAATTAATTAAAACTAAGGAGGAATATTACCACATAAAACAATTGCATATAACCAGCAATTAGGGAGCAATAACTTTTCATGGGTTTGATTTAATTCAAATTCAAATATCTTATAAGATTAATGCTAACAACACACTCTTTCCTTTCCAACACACTATTATTCAGTTACGTACAAGTGACTCCCATTAATGGATGCTGTTCTCATCCCTATTTAATAGGTCCCATCCCCAATTTAGTGGAATCTAATATATATATATATATATATATATAGGGAGTATTTTAAATGGGAGGAGTTTAGTGGAATCTAATATATATATAGGGAGTATTTTAAATGGGAGGAGTTTATTATTATGAGAGGTGAGAGGCATTAATAATGACCATTGGATCAAAATAAAGAGTTTAGATTTGATGTTGCTACCCCACTATCTACTTTCTTCTCTCTCTTGCCAATGGCCATTATTAACACCTCTCACTTAAAATGCCTTATATATATATATATATATATATATATATATATATAGAGAGAGAGAGAGAGAGAGAGAGGGAACTAAGGGGACAGGAGAGAGATCAACTTATCCCAATGATACAAATCACATTTTATATAAAATTTAAAAATTATTGACTGTGTATGAATTGGTGTACTTTACACTGATGTAGGTCAAACACTAATTGCTAAGATCAACCGGTACCTTCACAAAAAGGAAAAAGTACCGAAGAATCATTTCTGGTAAATTACAAAAAAAATTGACCCCTTCCCTTTGTCATGAAGAAGAGTGTCTTGAAGCAGCTGATAACTGAGTCAATTCTATTAAATAAAAAAAGGGCTGCCTAACGTGTGAGGCTCCCATCCTTTGAACCAGTGGACTTTTTAACTCAATTGATTCCAATTATTACCAAAAAAGAAAAAAGGCAATAAGACAGTGCAGTTTTAGTATTTTAAAAAGACAGGAAATGACTTAACTGCCAAGAATATTGCAAAAAATCAAGAAGATGGCCACAGAAAGATTTAAATTGAAGGACTTCAATGAATAATGTGCGTGTGCAGGATTACATCAATGTCTACACAAATTCAAATTTATTGTTTTTTATCACTCATTCTATTAAATTAGTTAACAACCAAAAATAATGATGTTCATCCCTACTTGGCCAAACTTCATGGTAGTCTACTGAGTGCTAACAATTAGCAGTAAGGAAATCAGTAGTACCACAGTGAATGAAAATTCAGAAACACATTAAAATGAAAAGGGGGGGCAGGGGAGGCATTTCACATTGATTTAGCGTAAATCAAATTTATACTTACTGCATTTATAGGCAAAGCCATGTCACCAGATCTTGGAAGCAATGGTGGTCCCATTCCATGAAGACCAGCATTAGAAGATGGTCCCATATTCGGGGGATGCATTGGACGCCAAGTATTATGGGGAGGCATACGATCACCGATAGGATCAGTAATATTGGATGGAAGTCTGCAAAAAGGAATTACAGAAGAAACCATTGTAATAAGTCCTAGTACCATGACAAAAATTGAATAGAGGAACCATTCAAAAGGTAGAAGGAAGAAATGAAGATGGGAACATACCTTGTGCCAGGTGCATCAAATCTAGGACCAAATCCTGGACCTCCAAATGCAAGACCCCTAATAAAAGCCAAACATAATTTCAAAAATTAGTTGTTGATAGATGCATAACATTCATTTGAATCATAACATGACAAAAAAGGTAAATTGTCAGAACAGTTTGGTATCAGCAAATTGTGTATTTTTGTGACCACACAGCAGCTGATTTTCATTGTGTACATATGTCAAGAATATTAATAGGTAGAAGTTCTTTATGCAATTTAAGTTCAAAATGAAAGAAATTCCTTCCTTTCACCCCAAAGGAACAAAAAATATATAGATTAAAGCAAAGAATAAACAACTTGTTGAAGGTATAAAAGATCAGGATCAAGGAAAAATGCCCTTTTGACAACGTTTACAACCAATACTAAATTTGTTTTTGATCTCTCCTCCATTAGAAACGTGCCATCTTAAAACGTGAGCTAACCAGACCAAAGAAAGCTAATATAAGAGAGCTATTGTTCAAATTCAAATTGCCAACTGAAAAATACTTCTTGCCCAGGGTTGGTTCCATATTCATATCAGTGGTCACAAGTCAATTTCTTTAAACAGTTCGTAGCTCCATGCTTTATTTAATTAATTAACATTACAATGGACTTTTATGCTTCAGGTTTATCAATTAACAAGGGCAAACCTGGAATCTCCTTGACGAGGTCTCTTAGGATCAGCAAACCGGACAATTAGTGGTTGCTCACAACCCTATGCAGCAAAATACAAGGTAATAACTAGAAAGCTTTTATAAGGATAATTATTGAAAGAAGAAAAAATGTCTTTCTTACTCTCATTGTATAGATTCCATTAAGCGCATTAATAGCTGCCAGTGCCATGTCTCTATGCGAGTATTTAACAAAACCACATCCTTCAACCAAAATAAGGCAAAATATTATCCATTCAGTATTGCCAATTTGCCATCAAACACAAGCACACATACATAAAAGAAAGAAAGAAAGACTAGAATGAAAAATTATGATGCCTCCAAACATTGAAGGAAACAGGTAAAAACAATAGCTTTCAGTGTACCAACCAATTCATAATTTCCTCAAGAACAACTGAAACCGGAGAACCACAGAAACCAGCCTCTCACCCCTGAGGTTCCACCCACCCCAACCCAGTTTGCAGCTTATATCTCATAAAGGTAGGAAACATACCACGGCTTTGCTTCTTGTCATCACGCATAAGATAAACATCTTCAACCCGCCCATAGTTTGAGAAAATCTGATGCAAGAGACACCATCAATTAGTTCCGAGTTAATAATAATCGCAAGCATAACATAATACTGCAGAGAAATTCAATATTTAGAGGTATCACAGACATCAGTTCCCATGGCAAAGTTTCCCTTTTGCAAGACAACATAAAACTTTTTTTGTCCCACAGAAAATAACAGTCTCTAGTGTAAAGTCTGATTGCAGCAAGCAACATACTTCCTCAACTTCTTTTACTGTCGCCTGTTTGTTCAGGGAGCCCACAAATAATTTGTACTCAACTGCACCTATCATATAAATTAATTTTCACAAACATGAAAGTCAGTTCAGATAGTCAGATGACTAACAACAATCATGCACTCCTAAATACAAAAGCACATCCAGGCACAAATTTTTAACCTAGAACAACCCAATTTTCAAAAAAAAAAAAAAAAAACCAGCTTCAGAGCATGTTCAGATGGAAATGGTATTGTAAGCTCTCTTTTTTTTTCTCATCAACGAATTAGCTGTTCTAACTGAAATGTAAACTTTACTATCAGCTTTAAATATATTTTGGAAAAATAATAAGTTGACTACTACCATAGACAGGAGGTTTAGAGCATATGAATAAATTTAATAAAAGGGACAAGTATAGTGCACCTAAACTTTAAATGATAAACTTCACCTAAACTTTAAATGATAAACTAAGACACAAGCTTACACATGTGAAAAAGATGTTTCAAACATTTCATCTAATTTTATTAGGTTCCTACACGCACAAGATTAACAGATAATTCCCAATACATTTTAATTTCTAAAGAGGGAAGAATTACAACTCTGATAAATATTTTAGCCTATCAGAGTCAGTAAATACAAGTAGTTACCAAGGCGTTCCCGTTCACCATCAGCATACCGCACTTGGACTGGACCAACACCCTAAATAATAACACGTGTCAGAAAATTACTAATCATTTTTTCTTATTTAGAATTCAGAAGCACAACAACTCACTCCAGGAAGAGTATGTTGATTGTGCAATGCTCTAATTGCCTGATCAGCTTCTTCTGAGGTAGCATATTTTATAAAACAACAACCTGCATAACAAAGATGTTTTATGGCAGTTCCATTAAAATAACACCCCCCCCCTCCCATAGATAGATATCAATAAAACTAGATCCACAGGCAGAGAAAGGACAGAGCAAAAAACTCAATTGTCAGAATGTATTCTATGTCAAGACTTTTCTTGTTTAAAAATACTTTAACATTACAAACCCATACAATGGGTGACACAGTAACTGTAAAAAGTAATGCCTCTCATAGTCTCTATTCATCATTCATCAAACAAATGAGATTGATTCTTCTTGTGTGCATTGTAACAACTATTTGGGAGCAGCAAGAAGCTAAAAAAATACATAAAGGGACAAAAAAGCAACCAGATTATATTGGAACACCTGGTTGTTGTTCATAAAGCATCAAAGTTGGATGGCCCAAAAATCCAAATATCAAGAGATTGCATATAGTTCCACAATAATCTTATTAGAGCATACTTGATTCTATGTTTCTCACAAACATTTCTAAACACAGCTGCCAGTAGTAGACCAAATTGATTTAATGCATTAGAATTTCAGGAACTAAAACTTTGGTTCCACATATAAGTTGCATACACATTCTATTCAGATGATTCACACCACGAGAGGTAGGATCTTATTGTATTATGAAGAATTCTGTCGTGTGCAATTCATCCACACAAACAAAGAATGGCATGAAACCAAAAGCTGCTTGAATTTCTATGTCAATGACCAGTACCACACTGGTTTATGATACAATGGGGTAGCTAACAAGTTACTACAGCCACAGTTGCAATTATCAATAAATAACTAGAACATAATCAATAACTGCTGTCTTTAAGCGAATAAACCCCACATTTCACGTCCCCTAGCAGAGTTTGACATCATTTCCTCTGTGGGTTTCTACTTCCACAAAGAAGAGAAAAACTGACAATTAACAATAGTTACTCATGGTAAAACTACAAGTGGGTAGAGGCTTGACTAAAGCCGCCATGTTGTATACATCCACAAAACTGCAACAGATATACTCACCCCATGTGCATAAAAAGGGTAGAAGCACAACACTACACAATATTTCAGTCATGGAGAATCCATTTTTCCATGATGAGCTTTTGGATAGCCACTAAAAGTAAGATGGAGCAGTTGGCAGTAGATCCAGTAAAACATGGAAATACCTATCCAATGCCTCAACTTCACATTAAATTATAAATATGACCATCACTGTTGCTTTCCCAAACCACTGCATTTACAATTTCAAAAGAACATGGCTTCTAAAATATATTTGAGAGGGCTGCACCATTATACGTAACCACAGACCTATCTATGATCACATCACAGAAGTAAAATCACTCTTTTCAACAAGCACCATTACAAAACCAAATTGTATAGGAACATCAAATCCATTAAATAAGCATGGCAATAGCACTAAAATGACTTGCCTAGATTTTACATAAGGAATCACAAATGATCAGCCATCAATTGTGTCACCAACAGGTCTGCCATTCATAAGGTATCTAATGAAGTATGAATTCCAACAAACATCGCTACTACTATCAATCATCATCCATGTTTTTTAACTCAACTTTAGACCCATACCATTTCATCAAATCGAAACCAGTATATGTCATTCCAAGCCATTCATTCAACAAACACTTATTTCACCAAAACATGAGAAACATTAAACCTCTTGAAATACATTATGATTAACACCATCAAAATGTAACAATCCAAGTTTTTCTTCTGTTCCCTTTGTACAATAATAGACTTCAAAATTTTTGACATAAAAAATCTACAGCTATGGCAACCAACACTCCGACTACAATCAACTGTTGGGTAATGCCCCCACTGCTGCAGCTACAATTGCAAGAGCAGGATCTTTTTGGTCTTCCAAGATCCCATCTGCTATACAAAGTGCAGCATACAGGTTTACATGTTGTAGCTCCTTCAGGCACGACAAGACGGGGAAAAAAGGGTGTACGCAACCAACAAGTCTGAACTTGTTGCAAAAAGAAACTGAGATGATGATGAGCTTATTTTCTCTACCATCAGCCTCTCTAAGGACCTGAAATAAAATGTATATGAATCAAAATAATCTCAGAATATAAGAATCAGAAATACCTTGATGCTGTCCTGTCTTTCTATCTTTGATGAGGGCAACCTCAATCACATTTCCATGCTCCTCAAACAAAGGGCGAATCTGGCATCAAACAATTGTAACAATATACTCAGTCACTAAATGCCAGATTACACTACAGTTCATATCCTTTCACGTTATGGAATAAATATAAATCATTAGACAATTGAACTTACATCTTCTTCAGTGGCGGTTCGAGGAACAGATCCAACAAAAAGTTTGGCAAAATTTCCACCATCAAAACGATCTGAAAGGGGAAAATGTTATTCATTTCTATTTTACAGTTGCTATAAGTGAAACCACAACAGAAACTGAAAAAACCAAAGATTGCAAGACGAAACATACAACCATCACCAAGCCTTATCCCACCCACTAGTTGCAACTTTAGACTAACACAAGTCAATCACGACATATTCTCCGGCTCCCTTTGAAGAAAATTATAAAGTAACATAACCAACAAACAATGCTGCTCTATCTCCCCACCTACAAAAATAAACACTTCCTACAGAAGCAAATGCCAGGACCAGCATTGTAAAATACCTGAATGTTAACCTAATAAATTAGCACTCCTAAACCCTTATTCCTACGCACAAAAAAGTTATATGCTCAACAAAATCCCCATGGCAACGCCAAAGCCTCCAATGCAAAAATTGAAAGCAAACCCCGAATTAAAAATGTCCATGCTCAAGCAACCCTAAAAGCAATAGTCATTCCAACAAGTCACAAATAGCACAAAACATCAGCAGCAGCAATTGAAGTGCGTTTCAAATGAAAAGAGGAAAACCCTATATTCATCATTCGCGATTCACTAACAACAACATAGCAAACCAAACAAACCAGGTAAACACAAGAACAATAACTCACCGGGCGAACCACCGCGTCCGGAGAAAGGAAACCCTCGTTTCTGACCAGACAGTGGCAGTGGCTGGTGACCGTCGAATCCGAATTCCCCAGGGCCCTCTGCGCGAAAGCCTCCAACCCTGGGAGGAGAACGACGCGGAGGACTATCGAAGGCACGGTTGTGAGGGGCGGCGCCGGAGCGGAAGGCGGCGGGGCTCCGGCGATTGTTGTGGTAGTTCATGGGAGAATCCGAGAAGCGAGAGTGACCCCTATTGGGCTGACGATAGTTATTGTTGTTGTGAAACTCATTGTTGTTGTTGTTGCTGCCATAGCGTTCTCCTCTGTGCCTATCCAGTTTTGCTAACACTGTGAAACCCTAACCTTGAAACACTGAGTGGGGAGTGCTAGTGAGTGTTGTGATGTTTTGCTTTGCTCCGGTGGAATGACGCACTTTCTGGCTACGATGCTATGCTAATTGCTAGACATACAAACAATCATAAATTCTTAATTAATAATTATTAATTAATAAATAACGAATGAGACGAAGACGAAGAAAGGAAGGACGAGACGACTTGACCCGTGTTTGATTTTGTGTTTGTGTGAGAGAAAGAGGAGCCATATTTACTACTGGGCCAGCCCACCCACCTCTTCTTATCTTTGGCCCTTTTATTGTCATTTGTCAATCACATGTCGTTTCACCATTTTCCCCATCCTTAATTTTTTCTTTTTAAATTCCTATTGGAAACTATATTCTTTATTTAAAAAATGTATTTATAATGATATTATTAAACTTAAAAAGATATTATATATTTTTTAAATTTTATGATTGTAATTTATTTAATATTTTAAAAATTAAAAAATATTTATATTTTTAAAATAAATTATTTATTATTACTATCTATTATATATATTTAATATAAAATTAATAATTATTTTACATATAAAAATATATAATGTATATTTTTTAAAGAATCGTAAAAATTACTTAAAAAACATTTAAAACTTTATATTGCATTACTGATGGAATTTTTCATATTCTTATATTGTTCCACCACCCTTCGTTTTTAAACAGATTATGATACGATCAGCATTAAGTGAGTTGAGCTACCATCTAAATACGATAAAATGTAACAATTAAGCCCGTCCATCCTAATGTAATAAATATCAAGATAAAACTTACGTAATTTCTTTATTTTTATAAAAAAAATATAATGCGTTATTTAACAATAATATTTTTCTTATATTTTTATTTATAGATTTTAACATTTATTTGAAGTTAAAAATATTTGTATAGTATCTGAAAAACTTATTAGGTATCTATAAATTACAAACGGTCTAATTACCGTACGTTAAGAGGATTAAGTATCAAGTATTGCTGCTAATTTTCCATGGCAATCATTAAAATAAATTTTATTTATAATAAATTATAGTACATAACTTGCTTTGAATTATATTATTTAAGAAAATCATTTATATACAGATCAATTTTGCTCGTAACTTGCTCAGAATGTAAATAAAATTGGATTTGGCACTTGGTTACAGTGTGATTTAAGTGTCGAAATTTATTGAGGTTCTTCTGTGCCTTTATCTTTACTTTTATTTATTAATTTTTTCTCCTTACATTGAATATTCGTTCTTTTTTCTTCTTACACGGGAATTCATTTGAAAAAAATATATACATGTTGTTAATAATAATAAAAAAAACTGCATTGCATGTTTTTAGAGAGAAAATTAATTGTATACACAGCCTTTTATTGACTCAAAACAGAAAGTCCATGAAAATAAAATTGCATTTTCATTTTATTTTTTGGGACCATAATACGTACATGAAACTATCTATAATTATTTTGAACCACACTCTCACCCGAATAAAGAATAGAAAGGAAAGCTTCAAGATGTTTCCTAAAAATGATACGAAATTTAAACCGATGGTGTCATTCCCATGATAAAGCCCATTATCGAACATTGCATAATCATTGATTGATTCGATTGGATTGTCTTCTTCGGTGTTCTTGAGGCAAATCTGAGGAACATGATGATTTCAAGTTTTTCAACTATAATTATTTTTCAACTGGCCACTTGGTTAGCTTTTTTCACCCCATCAATTCAATCCACCCTCTCACACACTAGTCTATTGGAGCAAATATGTCGTCAATCACCTCATTATCACCTTTGCGTTATGACTTTACGATCAGCAATTCATCATAGATCAAAAGCAGATGTTGCTGGATTTGCTCGCTTAACCCTTGAAATTGTCAATGCCAATGCATCTGTTACACTAAAAAGCATGCAAAAGGTTTATGTGCAAACCAAGGACCTTGAGCAAAAAAAGTCATTAGAAGGTTGCATTGCTTCATACAAGATTATAGTAAAAATAGATTTACAAGAGGCTCTAAATGCTATGGATAAAGGTGATTATAAGGTTGTAAAACAGAAGGCTTATGCTGCGGGTATCCAAGCTCAATCGTGCAATAACAAGTTGAAGAAATCCCACTACTTTTGCTTTGAGGGATACTAACCGATACGTGCAAAATCTATGTGCTATTGCTGTATCAATTGTTAACATTTTGCTTCAGCCAAACCATCCAAATTCGACTTAATTTTTATTGTCAAGAACTTGGGATGATTAATTTTTGGGTTTTCGTATATTTTCACGGCTCTGCATCTCGTGAGCTATATAGGCACGTATTTTTTCTTAAGCATGACCGTATATATGTTTGTACTGCAGGACAAGGGTGAAAGCACCACCACTGTTATTGTTTAAAGCTCTTTTCTTTTATTTTTTGGGCAATGGCATGTATAGTTTTATTCTGAAGTGAATTAATATAGTGGTAATATAAATTATTGTAATCGAGTTGTATATTTTTTATTATAATTTTTTAACAATGATGATCTAGTGGAATTTAAAGAGGATGGGATAATTTATTTCATTAAACTCAAATAATACTTTGAATATTAGCTATATTTATAATATTTAACAGTAATATTTTTTTTTATACTAAACAGGACAAAAAGTTCAAAAAAACACAAAAGTCTAAGTAAACACTTTAAGTCAAGAAACTCTTAAAGAATCCAGTATTAGAAGGGAATCAAGGAAAGAGAGAGCCTAGTAAAACAAGATATATCATCCAGACTCATGTTTAGCCAACCAATCAGCATAATGGTTGACTTCTCTTAAAATATGGTTTAGCCTAACAAACTTAAATCTCCTAAAAATGTTCCTAATTTTATCAATGATAAAAAATAACGAATGATCACTACTTTAAACATTAGTTACTAAGAAAATAGCATCTTTAGAATAACATTCAACACATATTACATTGATATTCCAAGAAACAACACTCTCAAGACCCCAATAAATTTCTCAAAATTCTGCAGCAATAGGAGAACAAAGAGGGAGCACCTTATAAAACTCAGCCAGAAAGGTTCCCTTATGGTCACACAGCAAACCCCCGCAGCTAGAACTACCACTAGAAAAAAGAAAAGCTCCATCAGGGTTCAATTTGAATTAGTCCCTTAGAGGAGGAATCCACTTAACAAGACTTCTAGGTTCCAAACCATCACCAATATGATTTTTGGTTGCCCTTGTCACAAAGAACCATATAGTCAAAAGCATTAATTATTTTGTTTAACAAAGCATCATAGGATAAGGGAGAATTTTGAAAAATCACAGTTTCTATTACACCAAAGATTCCAATTGATTATACAAAACAATTTACTCCATGATGAAAATAAGGTAAACTGGCTACTGGATAAATTAAACTTCAGCCAGTTATCAAAACCAAGACTAAAAAAATAAGACCATTGATCAGGAAGAATAAATTTGTTCCATATTTGAGAGGCACAATTACAATCTCTGAGAATATGAACAGCTGTCTCGGGAGTTTCATAACACCTAGTATACAAAGGAGAAGAAGACATTTTGCGACTATATCTTTTTTCATTAGTCAAAAGCTTACCATGAGCAACTTTTCAAAGAAAAATATTAATTTTTGGGAGACCCTCCCAATCCCAAACAAGTTTAAAAATATGATTACTAGTTTGTCCACTTAAGTATTGACCAACAATAAGAGAATAGACTGATTTGATTGAAAACATGATAGCAGGAGGAAGGACCTGGTGAATTTTATCCCAATTCTATCTACCTTGAAAAACAAAAGAAGCTACAGGTTCATTCAAAACTTCTCCAACAAAAAACTGAATAGCATATTGAGACAGATTTCGGTAATTTAAAAGTAAAAAATCTTTTCAGAAATTAACAATCATCCCATTCTCTAAGGATCAACCATAAACCAACCCAATCTCTGATAGAAAGAAACCCAAACAATAGTTATAGATTGATAAAAGAAGACATTTTATATTGTCAATTTTTAGTTTAAATTTAATACATTATCAATATAAAATTATATATATAATATTTTAGTTTAAATTTAACCTATTTATAAACTTGACTCACGTTTATATTAAGTTCGCAATTGAAAAAATTAGTCTAAGCCGATGTGTATATACATTTATTTTTAAACGTCTTGCTTATAAAATTTATATTTAATTTTATTTATGTGATAACTATTAAAAGAGATAAAAATATGATTTAATCTCCACGTATATCTTCCATTTTTAATTTAACATTATGTAAAAAATCTGCAATCAAATTTATACGTGTTTTAGTTAATTTCAATTTGTTCTTCATTTAATTAAAATTTTCATTTGTGGTCTATTTTTACTCAAGCAAACATTAATTGACTTAATTTAATAATTAAAATATATTTATCTTTCTACCTTATTTGCTTAAAAAAAATATGTCATTTAAACAAGAATTAAGTCCTATTTAATCTTTCTACACACCAGTAATATATACAAGTCTTTATATATATATACGAGTCATGTAATCCAATACAACGTTAGAAGACAATTTATGATAAAAATTAAATTAAAAATAATAAACATGTATACGGATTTAACTATTAATTTTTTAACTCTAAAGATTAAATTGAAAACAAATGATATATACAGTTAATCAAATCATATAATATGATGTTATATTATATTATATATTTTTTAGAAATTTCAGTTTTTTAGTATTTACAAATATTTATTGATAAAACGATAGACACGGAAAAATATCACTCACGCTCATCCTACTTCAAGACCATTCCTAGTTATTAATTTTTTCAACTTATGACAGTGATGTAAAAGTCATATTATTTCGACAACGTAACAAAATGTTATTTAGTGATAATCTTAAAGATGCTTATTGATGTTTTTTCAAGTAAAATAACACAAAGTGTCTCAATGTTTAAAGATATAATAAGATTTTATACTACCAAATAAACCCTTGGAGTTAAAAAAAAGAAAAAGTCTTAAATTTTCACTTTCAATTTATATCTTAATATTCACCAAATATATTTTAATGTTAGCGCCCAAGGTCAAAACGCAAAGCCGTTCACATTATGGGGGTCACGAATCCGACCAAACTCATCGTCGGGTAAAACCGTATGGCTAGACTCGACCCGATTCGACATGGATTGTGATTTATTTTTCCCACCTTGAACGGCACCGTTCGCTATAACAACGCACACAAAACCCTCGCTTAGGTAATTGGCAATTGCTGCTTCAACAATACAAAGCCTCTCTCTGTTCTCACCGTAGTTGAGCTCACACTTTTCCCACACAACCGTCGCAGAAAAAGCTTCTTCTATCGGAAATGGATTCGGATAGCGGTTCCAAGAATGTGGCGGGGCCTATGCAAATGGATTCCGGTGCTCAAGTAAGTACCCTCTCCAAACACGCTTCTCTCTTTCTACTCTCTCTCTTTTTTTTTTGTTGTTCTGTTCGATTTAATGAACGAGATAAAGTGAAAGAGAAAACCAAATCAACGGCTTAACGGGAAGTTCACAGTTAGGTCGTGTTGTTGACTTCACACGACTATGCTGTAGTAGGCTCACGGGATGGTTAAATTGTTGTTATTCTATAAAGGATTAACCCTAGCAGTGTTTTTCTTTCGATTGTGTGAATTTAGTTTGAAGTTTTGAATCTTCTATGCTTATTCTTTGGTTTGGTTCTGAAGGCAAAAGACAAAGAAAAGGAGGAGCTGGCAGAGAATATGAACAAACTGCATATTGAAGGATCGTCGTCTGGGAATGGATCGCCTAACTTCAGAAGAAAACCGGTTATCATTATAGTTGTAGGAATGGCAGGTAATTTGCTAAGTGTTGGAAATTGGACTTAGGAACTTGGATTTTTCATTTTGATTCTTTGCTTGACGAATAAAGACTCAGAATAAGCCTCGTTTGAGTGTTTAGGGAGCGGGAAAACAACACTCCTTCATAGGTTGGTTTGCCATACGCATTTGTCAAACATTAGGGGCTACGTGATGAATCTCGACCCCGCTGTCTTGACACTCCCATATGCCGCTAACATTGATATAAGAGACACTGTTAAGTACAAAGAAGTCATGAAGCAATTCAACCTTGGCCCTAATGGCGGAATCTTGACTTCGTTGAACTTGTTTGCTACCAAGTTTGATGAGGTAAGGTTTGCTTATTTAACTCGGAAACTATTGTGATCTGTGACATGTCTTACTCTTACTAATGATGGCAATGTATGATCCCCACTATATTTTTTATTTTTGTGGTGAGGACTGAGGAGCTTTCCTTGACCTGGTTTGATCTTATGTTTTTGATATTATATTTTATGTTTTTGGTTGGGATCGTGTTGTGTATGTGATCAGCGGCTCATTTTCGCACCTTGTTTTCAGGTAATTTCTGTTATTGAGAGACGAGCAGATCAACTTGACTACGTTCTTGTGGATACCCCTGGTCAGATTGAGATATTCACCTGGTCTGCTTCTGGTGCTATCATTACAGAAGCTTTTGCATCCACATTTCCCACTGTAGTCACCTATGTAGTTGATACACCTCGTTCGGAAAATCCCACCACTTTCATGAGCAACATGCTTTATGCTTGTAGTATCCTCTATAAGACAAGGTTGCCTCTTATCTTGGCATTCAACAAGGTTGATGTAGCACAACATCAGTTTGCCTTGGAGGTATTGTTTATTTCTGGTGAATTTTAATGTGTTTACTTTTATTACAAATGATGTGTTGGTTTGATTAGCTACTTTAAGAGTGAAAAATAATGACATGTGGACTGTATCTATGATGAGAATTGACTTCACATTAGAAGATCTCTCAAGACCAGAAAAGATGACATTCAAGTCCATGGAATCATTGTCCTATAAAGAGTTGGATATGATTGTTCTCTTTTGAAGGTTTTATCACTTTGGCATGTTTATTGGTATCTCTTTTCTATTGAATGTCAATGACTTCACTAGCATCCCTAAACAGTAAACACTAACCAAAAGGGCTTATTTTTAGTGATGCTTACCATTTGCTTTCAATTGAAGAAATTGAAATTAAGGCCAATACGTATTATAAATTGAGAGATTTGAGTGAAATGGACAGAAATATTAATGGAGATTATTATTAATTTTCCCTTTCATTTTGGAAATTTTCTTGTATCGAAAGATTTAACCTTTTGCCATTATGGGCTTCTTCCTTTGCATATTTAAGCTGAATCTCGTTGCTTCAGCGCACAGAAATATAATGAGCCTTAGGGATACTCTATTTGTAGCCTGATTTCTGTTCATTGATGGTTTTATTTTTCTCCACTATTTTCCCTGTCTGCTGAATGTATATGGTCTGTCATATTTCCATAGCTTGCACCATTTTTCTATTTATTCTTTTTGTTAAATTTATTGTGTATCTAGTGGATGGAGGACTTTGAAGTATTCCAAGCAGCAGTTAGTTCAGATCACTCGTACACGTCAACTTTAACTCAGAGCCTTTCTCTTGTGCTAGATGAATTCTACAACAATTTAAAATCAGTTGGAGTGTCAGCAGTTTCTGGTGCAGGAATTGAAGCCTTCTTTAAGGCTGTTGAATCCAGTGCAGAGGAATACATGGAAAACTACAAGTATTGTCTGAGCTCGACAGATTTTTTATTTGTTAGCTTCAGTATTATGTTACTATTGATTTAGAATAGCGGGATATTCAAAATGACTAAGCAATTAACTTCATTGTATTATTCAATGTTTAGGGCTGATCTTGACAAAAGACGTGAAGAGAAGCAACGCTTAGAAGAAAACCGCAGGAGGGAGAACATGGATAAACTGAGGAGGGACATGGAGAAATCTGGTGGAGAAACTGTAGTCTTGAGCACTGGTTTGAAGGACGAAGAAACAAGTAAAAGTAAAAGCATGATGGATGAGGAAGATGAAGTTGAAGAGGATGAGGAAATGGATGATGATGATGATGATTTGGGGATATATACCGAAGAGGAAGATGCTATAGATCAGGATGAAGATGAGGAGGTTGATAGGTTCGGCTTATGATGTGATTTCTCGCAAGTTGGACTGCATCAGAGTTGGATCTTTGTATAGGACCTTGACTTTCATTTGGTACATGTATACAACCTTGACACCTAATTAATCAACCAGTTTATTTCACATATGCTGTCAGCACCAATCGCTCTAGGTTCTGTTCGTTTATATTTTTGCACTAATTGCCCAGATTACTTGGTTTTGCTGCAACTTGTTTTTGGACTGATAATAACTATTAATGACTTGAATATTTGCTTTGCCAGAGATCTCAAGTAATTTTGTCTCGTGCGATAAATGGTTCTGAGAGGCTTTGCCACATCCATACGCGTGTATGAACTTTTTAGAAATATATAATTGGGAATAGTTTTTTAGATAACTCCATATAATGAAATTGGGCCAGATTATTGTATCTGTACTAGTTATTCTGTATTTCAAATCTTTATGTGGGTTCTCCATCTGTCATGAATTATGATAATCGTATATATCATTTATAAATGAGTCATTTGATTTCACTTATATATATCTTTTCTATTTTATGCTTTTATCTTTACATGAATTATTTTGTTACGTTAATAATTCATTATAATTTCACTATTAGTCAATGATCATGTAGTAGTAGTAATAATAATAATAATAATTATTATTATTGTTATTATTATTATTATTATTATTATTAATCGTGCAAGATAATTAATAAAGAAAAACATGAAGGTCTAATAAGTTTGTTTATTAAATAATTGGTTAAAATTTTAGAACTTTAATTGATCTCCAAAATTCGAAGTTCTATTTATCTCATTAATTTGTTAATTAGATAAGGGTATAATTTTTTTTTTACTTAATTAAGAATTATTAAGGTTGACCGAGTCTTAGCGATGGAATAAGAGTCATGGGATAGACATAGTTGACTGTATTAATGAAAAAAATATTACAATCATATCTACCTAAGAAAAAAATATAAAGCAAAATTTTTGTATACAAATGCATTTTTTTTGCTAATGTATACAAGTGTTTTGATGGGATAAGTGGTTAATCTATAAGAGATATTTATTTATTTTTATTTAAACTACAATTATCTTTTTTTAAAGACGGTATCATTTGAGTCGAATGAAATTATTATAAGGGATAAAAATTTCCTTTTAAGACTACAAATCATTTACCAATTGATTAAGTTGTTCGATTGATAGATTTTTTTATTTATTTATTTTGCAAACTTCTAAATTTAACTCGCCCAAAAAAAAAATCATTAAATTATCGACCGCTTTACATTTGGCTTTATACCAATGTATATCCAAAAGCCTCAAATGTAGCTGGCGTGGCCGATTCACTGTTCTGCTTCTGCCTGGATATGTACAGAAACAAAACGATAATGCTTTAATGGACTCGAAACAAAAATGTTTAGTTTTAAATTTTGATAATTAATAATAATAATTCTTTAAAAATATTTATTATATTTATTTATTTATAATAGAATAATTTTTATAATAATTATATTAATTTAAAATAGTTAAAATAGAGTTGTAATTATCGAAAAAATAATGATAACGCCGTATACTAATCACACAACTTTTCATTATAATAACGGAGGAATTTAAAAACAGTGACAAATACTGTGCATGAATTATTCAAACAATAATTGAGGCAATCTTGAAACTCTTTTATGGCCCCCACATGAAAGCTTTGGAAGATTTATAAAGTGATAATGTATAATTGATTAATTATTTTGTAGATCACGAATCAAGATAAAACTCAGTAATGATCTGCGGTCAACACGTGCCATCTTTACTTCTAAATGAAAACCCACAAATTTTGAACACTCTAACAGAGTTGAGGTAAGTGCTAATAATTATTGGCATGATAATTGATTTAGTCGGGGTATTAAGTAGTTAAATTATTAGTTTAATTAGTAAATTCTCGGTCGGATTGATTAAACTTTATGCTGTGAGTATTTATAATAATTAAAAGACTAAGAATATTATAATTAATATGTAGTTGTGGTGTAATAGGTCACGTGTGTTGCATTAACATTATTTGGCCCTAGATTTTAAACATCTGCATTAATTATTTAGTCATGGAATTAAATTTCGTTCATAGTTATTTGCATTAATATTTTGCAAAATAGTACAATCAAAACGATACATTTTAAATTATAACTTACAAAATCCGATCCATTTGTATTGATACAACGCAAGTAACAGATTTTAGTAAACTGGATTAGAAGGTATAATTTGAATTTATAAAAATAATGTTTAAAATGGATAAAATTTATTTATTGATTTTAATAAATTTTTATGCTCAAAATTTAAAATTAAAATCTTTTGTTTCAATTAGTTACGCCGATATTTTTTAAAGGTAAATTTTACGGTATTTTAAAAAATAAGAAAATATTTTATGTTTTTGTATATAGAAAATAATTATAACTATTTATTTTAATGATAAAGTTAGTAATGTATTTAAAAAATATATAAATATTTTTTAATATATCAATATAATTTAGATAAAGTATTTAATCTACTTTCAAATTTAAGAGTATTGTAAGAGTAATTTTTTTAATTGTTACTTTTTAATTTAATAATATTAATTTTGGAATTTAACTTTTTAATCATGTTACTTTCTTTTCTTTTTTATATCTAAAACTTTTATTTAAAATTCAAAAGATCAAAGGATTGATTTTTTTTATTAAGATTGATAATGGATATATCTTAAAGTTAAACGAGTTTTTAGCTGAAATGTATTGCCAAGTAATTCGAGAATCTTTTTTGACAGTTCCTGATTAAGCGGATCAGGTAATGTCAATCAAGTATATATAATTAAAATCTAAATAAACTATGCAAATAAAAATTTAAAGGTTAAAAGGAAATTGTATAAACTCAGATGAGACAAGTTACGGCCACGCATAAGTTGATCATCATAGTTCAGAATCGAAATAAAGTTGAATCTGGTGTAAGCACAATCACATCATCAACACTCCCAATAAAGTTGAAAACATTCCTCTTTTTATTGCGATAATAATTACAAAATTAAAGGATATATAATAAAACTCTGTTTTCGTTACGGTTTCCGTGAGAGAACGAGCTTCGAGAAAGAGATTGCATAGGTGAATTGTGAAAGTGGGAAATGGCGAAGCACGAAGAACTTCCGATCCCGATTTACGACAACCTGGAGCCTGTGTATGGAGGAGGTTCTGCGCTCGAAGAAGCTCAGCTTCGTTTCGATAACTTCAAATCCAAATTCCTCGAAATCTTCTCTCATCCTCCTCAAGTCTTCGCTCGTTCACCAGGTCTCTCTCTCCCTGTCTCTTTGAATTTCATATTACTATATGGTTTTATTTTTATCTTAATTGAAAGTTTTAGTATGAGAATGTGTATGCTATGGTTAGATACTTGGATTGTTGATTTTAATGATAGAAATGGCAAATCATGTAATTGTTTTGCGGTGTTGAACGATGATAATGATAAATTAATTATTATTATTATTTGATTTTGCGGTGCAGGGAGAGTGAACTTGATTGGGGAGCACATTGACTATGAGGGATATTCGGTGTTGCCTATGGCTATTCGGCAAGATACGATAGTGGCGATTAGGAAAAATGAAGCAGAAAAAGTTCTTCGGATCGCTAACGTAAATGATGAAAAATATTCCGTTTGTACTTATCCAGCTGATCCTGACCAGGTGGATCTTCAAATCCGTGTCTACGTGTGTTTGTGTTTTGAATAAGTATCTAAGACTATTCTTTTTTGTTAATGTAACAGTTTGTTCATCAATGCAGGAAATTGACTTGAAGAATCACAGATGGGGCCATTATTTTATTTGTGGGTGAGTTTATTTTCATATTTCTCTCGTAATTTTCTCAGTTTATTCTAGGTATAATTGCAAGCGTAGTAAGATGTATCGTGTATGTAGCTGTGTGCTTTGTTCTCTTTAACGAATCTTGCTTACACTACCAAGATAATGCAGACTGTATTTGTATGTCGTTTGAACTAGTAGTCCTAGATTAATGTGCATACTTGCTACTTTTCAATTTTAAATTATAAAAAGAAATGCTTGCGGGGTTTATTTAAAATTTTAATGATGTATTTATAATCTAGAGTGTGAAATTTAAAATGATATGGTATATATGAATGAAGAAGCTTATAGAGAGATCTGTTTTTTTCTTTTTTGGGTGAACGAGGAAGACTGGTTGCATTGTTTTTTTAACTTACACTACAATTTCTGTAGGTACAAAGGTTTCTATGACTACGCAAAACTGAAAGGAGTGGATGTTGGAGCACCTGTTGGACTTGATGTTCTTGTTGATGGAACAGTGCCAACAGGTGTGTGCATTAGTTTTGAATTAGAATTGTGCAGCTAATGCTATGCGAATTTACCTCTTAAGTGAATGTTGATCATTATCTTTGGTTCTCTATTAGAGATGATGGTTATGTTTGTCAATAGGGCTAAATTAAAATGGCAATATTTATTTTCTTTACAGGTTCTGGACTATCAAGCTCAGCGGCATTTGTTTGTTCTTCCACGATTGCTATTATGGCTGCTTTTGATGTGAACTTCCCAAAGGTCTACCTTTAAGATATTTGTTTTATTGAATGAATGCATTTGTTTTGGAAAATATTTTATTGTTTTTTGATTTCATATTTACTTTTTATTCTGCTTCTGACATACATTATCAAATATTGTTGACAGAAAGAAATTGCACAAGTTACATGTGAATGCGAAAAACATGTTGGGACACAAGCTGGTGGAATGGATCAGGTTTTGCACTTCTTTCATTACAGATATTTTCTATTTTAATTCTTGCATACCTGCGTCCCAATGATATCCAAGTATGGTCTTTTCCATCACATCACCTCTCTATGAGATGGCCTTCATAACTACTACAATACAGCAAGAGCTGATTGACCAATTTTGTTTTTAACTAACTGTGAAAGTATAAGGTCTTAGTTGAACAATTGAGCATCTGTGTACACATATGGTGTTGTTGTAATCCATCATTCAGAATTAAACCATGTCAAAGATATTCCCACTATCTCTTATTTGGTTTCATTTTCCAATTCTACATAGTATGAATTTTGCCCAAGTTCTATAGTCTATACAGCACTAGATGTTCACAATGAGTTGTTTTGGGGTCCAGTAAACCCAGATGGTATATTATAGCTTTTTATTGAATGGGTGAATCAAATGAGTGTTACTCTTCATGGGACATTCTGACATTTTTCTGGACTTGCCTTTTTTTTTACTTGACAGGCAATCTCTGTCATGGCCAAAACTGGGTTTGCAGAGCTGATTGATTTCAACCCAATTCGTGCAACAGATGTGCAACTTCCTGTTGGTGGGACTTTTGTGATAGCTCATTCTTTGGCAGAGTCTCAGAAGGCTGTTACCGCTGCCACAAATTATAATAACAGGGTTGTTGAATGCCGTTTGGCTTCTGTGAGTACATCTCAACCCTATTAGTGTTAATTTGTAATCACAATTTCTGGAGCAATGTCCTTTTGGTTTGTCAATTATATTTATTAACTCAAAGTACTATGGTGAAATTTTACAGATTGTGCTTGCAATAAAGCTAGGAATGGATCCAAAAGAGGCAATATCAAAAGTGAACACACTGTCTGATGTTGAAGGTTTATGTGTATCGTTTGCTGGTATTCATAACTCATCTGATCCTGTCCTTGCTGTAAAGGTAATTTTACCGGGTACATGTTTATCCTTAAAATTAGCCTTCAATTTATATGAATTAATATATTTTTTAATATTTTTATTTTTCCACATTCATAAAAATTTCAAGCCTTTTTTTCTGTTTTAAAAACTTTAATTTTGGTACAGGAGTATTTGAAGGAAGAAGCATATACAGCTGAAGAAATAGAAGAAGTTATTGGGGAAAAGCTAACTTCATTTTTGAGCAATAATGCAGCTTATTTAGAAGTCCTAAAAGTTGCAAAGGAATACAAATTACATCAGGTTATTTTTTTAACCCCCATTAGTAAAGTTACTCCCATTTGAATAACCATATTAGGATCTGAATATATTATTTATTTTCAGTTTGGCTCAAAATTTTTCATTTTTAATTTTAAGTGGTTTTAGTTGTTCTTTTTCATTCTGTACTTCTGTACCAGTTAGAAACTACTGCTGATTTAGTGTTCATTTCTCTGGAACTGGATTTTAGCCCAGTAGTGGAGTTATAAATGTTACGTTTTGAATATAAACTTTTATAGTAATTTGCTTAGCTTGCTGTTTTCAATGGTATTCTTTATGCGTTTTGTTTCTGAATTTCCTTAACAATTGCTGATCGGATAGTGTTAGTATCTATTGATTTATATCATTTAGTTGGAAAAGATTTCATGAATGACATACTCAAATCTAAAAGTTTCCTGTGCTTTTGGATTTCACCATTTCCAACGTGCATTTCCCTTAGTATTAATAGTGTTATTTAATTTTGACACATTTATTTCTAGAGAGCTGCTCATGTGTATTCAGAAGCCAAGAGGGTACATGCTTTTAAGGATGTCGTAGCCTCAAATCTAAGGTGAGCCTTTTGGATCTATCATATATTGCTATGCATTTATGCTGTTTGTTTGCAATGTAATTGTCATGAACATTTCTTTATTGCTTGAAAGCCAGGATAGCTTCTAGAAGAATTGATTGAGTAATAGTTTGTGTGTATAAAGATAAAAGCCAATCACCCAAGGAAATTTCATTTAAAGATGAATGAAACTTGAAAGTCTGGTTGAACATTTATATTTTATCGGGTGCAGGGGCATGCCGCTATTTCATTTTTCACATGAAGACATTTAACTCAGAAACACGTGGCTTTGCTACTGTGCTTCTTGAAATATATTGCCATTATATGCTTGGCTTATGAGCTTTCCGTTTGAATGTGACTGTAAGACATTGAAACATTATTCTTCCACATCTAGCTACAATACATACCTAGCTTGGATATGTAAATTGGATGAGGACCACTCTGAAAATCTTCTAATATGATTCTTAGTAGTGGAATATGCTTCGAGGACTAATCCATTAGTTTGCATATTTTGTGATTCTTTCATAAGTAGGTTATACGTTTCGTTTATTTGAACTAAATTTTTTCAGTGACGACGAGATACTAAAGAAACTTGGTGACCTTATGAACGAGAGCCATCGTAGCTGCAGCGTTTTATATGAATGCAGGTATTGACATACAAATGTGTGCATTTTCAATTGTTGGATTCTCGCTAGAATTCGTTTATAAAGCATGATTTGTCATGCGAGCTTTTCAATCCTTAGAGTAACAGAATGAAGAATAATTAATGTAAACTGTATTTTCCTTTCTCATCACATAAAATTGATATTTTATTTTCCATTATTTATGAAATCAGCTGTCCAGAATTAGAAGAACTTGTAAAAATTTGTCGTGACAATGGTGCTCTTGGAGCAAGGCTTACTGGAGCTGGATGGGGTGGCTGTGCTGTTGCTTTGGTGAAAGAGAGCACGGTCCCACAATTTATCCTTAATTTGAAGGTTTGCTATCATATACTAATATTTAACAACCCTATGTAATCATGTATATATATAAAAAAATCATATTTAATCATTGGAAATTTGAAAATAACAAGTTATCAATGATGAATTCTTTATCTATTGCAGGAATGTTTCTACCAGTCTAGAATAGACAAGGGCGTTATTAAGAAGAATGATCTTGGCCTTTATGTATTTGCTTCCAAGCCATCAAGCGGTGCTGCCATCTTCAAGTTTTAGGATAGTTCTTTGATCTGCTTCCTTGATTATGGCTTAAACAGTTTTTTCTTTAATGTAAGATCTTAATACAGACCAAATGCAATTTCATTTGGAGTAAGATTAAATGGTACCTTAATTTTATTGTAAGTTGTTTTCGATATGTTAGTCAATCCAATGAAAAGTAGAAAACTAATAATGATTTTGCCGAACAGCATTGAAGTCATCTTTTGTAATGGAAAGATACTTGACGCGTTATCATGAAAACTGTGTTGAAACTCAGTTGCTATGATTAGATAATATAAAGAATTTTACGCGAACGATTTATTAAATTTGAGAAATGAATATTAAGTTTTTAGCGGTTTGGCTTAAAAGATCTATTTTTGATCGACAGCTACTGCCGGCTGAATTTTTGGATAAATTATATCTTTTTTTTTCTCTTTAAAAAATGTTTAGAAATACAACTTAATCATTTTTCTAATGAGTTATTTTAATGTGATTATTTATCTCATAAATTTCTTTTGAAATGAATTAAAAATAATTTATTCCTAAAACTTATACTAAAAAAATTATTAAAATAAATTAAAAAGAGCTTCTAAAATTATAAATTATTTTTATAACCTCTATATAATTTCTTCAAAATGCTCCCTTAATCTATTTCAACCCCTCCGCATGTTTCTTAAACATATTGGCCATTGTCCCAATAGTCACTCACTACTCACTGTTACATCGAGTTTGGATCACATTTCTAACTAATGAAATGAAATGGTAAGGACATGTGTACAATAATAGAAATTATAAAAATAAAAATCTAAATGAAAAGGAGATAAAAAAAATCTAAATGAATGAAAAATAAATAAATAAAGTTTAATCTACCTTAATAAGGGATTTTAATATTGAGAGAACTCGGGAATTTAAATGGATGGCAGAATAAGATTAGTGTGGTGGTCGATAAATAGTTCTTTGAAACCTCTTTAAGAAGCCTTGTAGGGCTATGGCAATTTTAGTGGTAATGTTAGGAATGTGTTAATGTGGTGGCTTACGTGCTTTTATAACATAGTTATTAGATGTGGGCACAAACTGCATGTGGTTATGCAAAAGAGTTTCATGCCACCAAGTCAAACGATTATTAACGATAGACATCAAATTCAATCTTTGCATACATTAACGGCAATTCCTTTTTTTTCATTTTATAAATAAATTTTCTTTAAATTATTTTTTTAAAATAATATAATTTTGGTTCTTTTATATATTGGGAATAGTTGTTTTACACTTGATTAAGAGATATAAAACGAGTGAAGAATAGATTGACAGGAAAAAGGAGCAACTAAGAATGTGCTGAAAAATTTTAAAGAGAGAAAAATTTTGAAAAAAAGATTTGGAAAAAATAAATATAAAAATCCCTTTCATATTTCAGTTCTTGGTGGTGACAAAGGATATCTTTCAAGAGAACAAAAAACAGCATACGATATAGAGAGATAGTTCGGAATTGATGTTTCCTTCGCACTTTAGAAAGAGGAGGGGTGAGCGAGGGTCAACCAAGTTCGTCATCTATTAATTTTCTTCATATTGCTATCGCTTTTATTCCTTCTGTTTTTCACTTGCTTGAAATTTATCTTGTTGAGTCAATGAATTGCTTATATAATTATTCTGCAAACCATCTTTCATAGAGGAGCAATGTTTATTGTTCAAATGTCCATTTGATGAAATCAATAGTAGTGGTAGACAAATGTCAATCTCATCATAATTGATCCTTTTAAAATACAAAGTTGCTTTATAAGCTTTTCTGAAGGAATAAAAGGGGACAATATTTCCAGCTACAAATCAATGAATGATCACTACTACATTTAAAAGAAACCATATAAGTGCAATATAGATACATTTCTTTATACTCTACATGCAAAACTGTATAATTGAACTGAGATACTCTTTTAATTTTGAAATAATAATTTTGTATTTAAATAATGAACCTGTTCAATAAAGGTCCAATTAGATTAAAGTTGTATTTAGAATTCAGATAAATAACAATTAATGATTTATTAAATAATCTTTTCACATATATTTTTAAAATTACTTTAGTTACAAAATTTGTTAAAATAAACTAAAAAGTTATGTGTACAAGTTACATTTGAAATCTTTCAACCGGTTCTGAAATTACAAATGAATTGAAAAATAAATTGTGATTGATGAGGAAGTAGGAGGAGTTGATATTCTAAGGGGTAAAATTGTGTTCATTGAGCAGAGAAAAGAACGTAGAGAGTGGAAAGAAACAAATGTCCCCAGCAAAGCATAGTTCTGAGCATTGAATAGTGGTAACCATTATTGTGAGGAATCATAATATTTCTGGGACACCTCTCACTTAGTTTGGTGAACTGGTCCTACCCACCCATTTGTCATGTGGTTCGGACTTTCGGTTCATGATTCATGAATCGGCGGAACCAATTTCTTAAGAAATCAAAATAAAAAACATTAACCTCAAATTTTACAATATTCTTTAAACAATTAAAAATTATTATTTTAAAATACTTAAATCTATTCTAAAAATTAAAACTAATAAAAATACACAAGGAAAAATGATTGGCTACGTTAAACTCTTGTACTACATGGAAAGTTAGTGCACATTCTACCACTTATGTCTGATCCTGCAACCAAAAGAGTAAAGAGTAAAGGCACCCCATATTACGGTTGCCGAATCAATAATTAAGATACTTTAATAAATAGATCAATTCATTGTCAACAGAAATAGACTTGAACCATTCACTGATACTTCAGTGCATTAGAATAACATTGGGTTGTTTATGAATTAATATTTATTATGTCAATCTTTATGAATAATTATTTACTAATTGATGAAGACGCGTGGGAGGGTGGGGGCGTAAAACACGTTTTTCAAATATAAGTTCTTCCCATTCTAAAATTAAATAATCAATAAAACATATGAGTAAATCTGATATAATGAATGCTTTTCTTTTTCCTTCTAAATTTTAGAATACCTTATAATGCCGATTTCTTTTTATATATAAAGAGTATTAGTTTATGTTGAGGATGAATCTTTTTTGTGAAACTTCTATACGATAAGATTATGTAAAAGAATCATATCATTTTAGTACCATAAATAAATGAAACTGACTTAAGAATAAAATAAAAAAAGAAAAAAGATTTGATATCAAATATAATTGGGGAGCACATTCATTTATTTGCCTATCCCTTGTTCATTAATATTCACAACTCCATAATTAAATATCCAAAAAAAAAGTGTCGGTGAAGAAATATCGAAAAATAAAAATAAGTACCATCGTTTAGATAAGAAAAAACAGTAAAAGAAAACATCGTTCATATAAGATATACAATATGAATTCGATTGGTTAAAAACATAGATAGAACATGTAATTATCGTAAGCATCTTTTTACATGAAACCATCGTTAATTTGTTATCACTTTTCAGCTCACTTTTGTAACAATTATTTCTTGCAAAATAGCATTACTGAAAATAAAAATAGTGTTAATGATGGAAAAACAAACACACGTGACAAATTTGAAAAAGGTTCAGAAAAAAGAGAAAATTAAAACAAAAATAATGAGTTAAAGGAGTGAAAATGCAGTGTTGCCAACTGTCGGCGCGGCTCTGCTTTGCTCCTTCCTTTCCTAGTTTTTTCGCTCTGTACTATAAATATGCTGTTCTTTTTTAAGACACCACATGGATTTGGCATTGGCAGTGCAAAAAAAGAAAGAGATTTTAAATTTTAATTAGATTTGCAGTGAGGTAGTTTCCCGGTAACGCTGTGAAATCCATCTTTTATGTTCTTTGTCTCTCATCGGATCTTGGGTTCCTTCTCTTTCCCTCAAGCTATTCACTTTCCACTTCAATGTTCCTTTTTATTATCACAATGGCTACCTCAAGCTAGTTTCAAAGTTTATGTCTTTCTCCAATTTCATGGGTGCCCAGTTATCTTTATTTCATGGTTCATCATATGTGGCTGCTATGTAACTATATATGCTATTGGGTATTTACTAATTCTTAGTACCAAGCGGTTTTACTAATTAGAAGAAGACCATTTTAAGAATTTTAGTTTTGTGTTACTGATTGAATTTTGTTTCTTGTTATCGTACAGGGCCAGTCCAATCCTGGGATTACATTCTTTTTTGAAGAAAGTGATTTTGGTTTATGGATTGAGTTCAAAGATTTAGTTCCTGGAGGCAATTTATAAGACATTTTTGGGTTGTTCTAATTTTGTAGGGTAGGGTAACAAGCAAGGAGAAGTTGGATTAGTTTTGTGTCTTTGAGATGGATCATAGAAGTGTCAAGGATGAGGGTGATGAAGTTGATCTTGAAAGTGGGTTGGTAGTAATTGAAGATGATTCAAGGAATGTATCTAGTCCAGGTAATACAAAACAAGTGGCTTGTGTATACTATGATGAGTCAAATTTAACTGTAGTTTCAATGGACATGGTGAAAGTGACAAACAAGTTGTTGGGGCAAGACTCAGTGGAATATGAAGAGAATACCATAGTAAAGGAGAAACGTAAAAAGTCCAGTAATAAAAAAGCTCCAAAACCTCCAAGGCCACCACGAGCTCCATCATTGGATGCAGCTGACCAAAAGCTAATCAGGGAGATTACTGAACTTGCCGTGTTAAAGCGTGCAAGGATAGAGCGCATGAAAGCCTTGAAGAAGATGAAAGCTGCTAAAGCTTCTTCTTCTTCTAGTAGCAGCATGTTTGCCATGGTTTTCACTGTCGTCTTCTGTATTGTGATAATACTCCAAGGTAATATTTGTAATAAAAGTAACTTTTAATGTGCATATGCATATTCTTTTCTAATCTTCTGCTCAAATGATATAATTGATGGAAGTGTTGTTAATGGTTCATGGTTGGGTTGGGTATTCTTTTGCTACCTTTGGATTCTGCAATTTCATTGCCTCCTATGCATATTGGTCTTATTTTCTGAGCTAGGCCACCAAATTGCATGATTATTACTTCAGTATTATGTTTGGTGAATTCATCAAAAATCATCTTTTTTGTAAAGCCTACATATTGAATATAGTTCTTCACATCAGTATTTATAAACTAGAGTCTAGAGATAATTGAAGTTTATATTTGTTAAGTATTATCCCATGAATTTCACCATGTTAAATTTCTGTTCATAATTTAATGATAGTTATGGTTCTTTATTCAATTATAGGTTGGAAAGTCAAGCTATGGAACAATTTTACTATGAATAGGGAAAAGGAAAAAGGAAAATACAAACAAAAAAAAAAAAAAAACTTTAAAACACAGTACTTTCAAATAATGAACACAGTCCAATTATTATTTATTATTTAAAGACGATATCAAGGAATTTTACTGTTAATCAAAGTTTTCAAGACTACTCAGTCCCTTCCATTTTTCTAATATCATGTATGTATGTTCACTCAGTATTTGGTGCTGCCAACCAGCCCAAATATTTTCTCTTTATATTTGACTCCTCGTGGTTCAATCTGGTTATTTAGATTTAAATAATGATTCAACTTTCCCAACTAACAACTGAGAGAATCATGATCACCGTTTTCCATTCCCTTGATGGATAATTGGAATCAAACAGCTGCATTTGCCCTTTATTTCCTCTTTGATGTGTAAAACAATTGGCATTATAATAAATCACCTATTTCTTGTGTATACACTTTTCTAGCATACAAGATGGCCATCAAAATGTTCTGATTACTCTATTTCCAGTTATCTGATTATGTTTCACCCGTATTTGAGAACACTCTGTCTTTTATTTTATGGTCTACAAATTCCCTTTATATTATGAATCAATCATCCAATGTTTTTGGTATAAAGTTACCTAATATGCAATATGGGAATCGAATTCATGAGAACAATGCACTCCAAGTGGTCTTCACTTTCAAGATGTTCTCTTTACAGGTATGTCATCCGGAAAAAGTTCAGTGGTAAGTTTCCAAGGATCTCCTGTGGCTGCAGGAGGAGCAGAGGGTGGTCTCATTGATGTTCAACACCAACTCAATCCATCTTCCACTGACTCAAATTCACCCGGTTTAGAATCTCACAAGTAAGTTGAGATGCACATTGTTCATCGAACCTCTTTTCTCAGCACATTTCTTTCTTTTTCTATATCATTCATAAAGAATTTAACACTAGTGTGGCAACCTTGTAATATCATTATTTTTACTTGATGGTACCTTGCAGAATTGTAAGGAAAGTCACTGGTGTAAGACTGAGAAGAGATTCAGGTTAATAATGCAGAAAAAATGACAAGAAGAATGCCATTGTCAGTGTCATATGGTATTGTGCCCCATCTTCTTCTTTAGAAAGCTCTTTTTCTTGTCTTTCATATATTAATGTATTTCATTTTAACGTGACTTTGTGTTGGGCAATTTATTATCCTCTGTATGTATGTAAATTGTTCAATGATAGGGTGAGTTAAATTGCCTTAGTTGTGTTGGTTATAGTGGTGTTCCTCAGCAACTGCCTGTTGCATACACTCGTTGAAGGAGATTTTGCTTTTGAAGCTCTGCAACCATCTGTAATCACCTGATCATTGTGTATGAAGTATGATTTGTGATATTCTTACACTTCTACACTACCTCTATTTTCTCTCTATCCTTCTCTTACATTACCCATGGTAATCTTTGACTTTTTCCCTTTTTAGCTCTCATCAGGTGTATACAACTAACTAAGTGTATGAATATAATTTTTTCCAATTGTGAGGGAGAAAGTAATGCCATTCCTATGATTTTGTAGCGTGTCTTTCTATGATTATTCATGAAACATAGGTTGAAATTGACATTTGTTGGGAGACATGACAAGAGCATTCAAGAGGGAGCTGAAATTCATTTGATTGAGGAAGTGATAATACAATAGCAACAAAGTGAATTATGTACTTGTAGAATTAATTATTCATCAAATTTATTAACTCACGCATTTGGAAGAAAGAAGATTGTATCAAACTCACTAACCAAGCTAACCAAACACAAAAACCATATGTTTTACTGTATAATACCCCTTGCAAGTTGGAAGAAAGCTGAATGTAAAAACAAAAAACGCTGACACACAAAGCGCCAAACGGAGAAATCACCATTAGAGAGACGGCACGCTTACGTGGATCAAATTAGATTAAAAAGTACCACGTAAATGCTATAATCATGAGAAAAAGAGGTAAAGTTAACTAAATGGAGAAAAATATTTTCGTTAGAATCACACTGTGACCTATATATTAGGAGAAATTTTGTTTAATTAATTACCCACTGACAAATTAATAGAAATTTTTTTAAAACTATTAAGAGAAGTATTAATTTTTTTTAACACTTATACCTTTTTGTGAAAACAATTACATAGTTATTATTATTTTTAAGCATTATTATAAAGTACTGTTCTTTAAAAACAAAAGCTGAAAATCGTTACTCACTTTGATTAGTGTCATTTCAAATGAACAATATTGGTTTATGTAATTCACTTTATGTAATTCACTTTTCCCCTTTCCTGTGACCCTCTGAAATTTAGTTTCTCCATCCCTCCTATCTTATTGTTCTTATGTAAACTAGTAAGGTCACCCGTGCATCGAACGGATAAGTTATTATGTAATAATATAATATTATAATTATTAATTATAAAATAAAAAATATTTTATAAAATTTGTATGATAATTTTAAATTATTTTAAAGTTTAAAATTAATTAGTATATACTAATATTATTATCAATAAAAATATTAATTATTTAAAACAAAAAATTATAATATATAACTTTATAAAAAAAATTATATTGGCATTAATTAAAAAATAAAGTTTTTATTTTTATAATAAACTTAATTTGAATTTTAAAAGATTTATTTGTACACTACATTTATAAGAGTTTTTGTACTTTTTCAATCACAATCTTGTATAAAGATCTTTAATTTCTTTTGAATGGTTACTTTAAAGACTACTAGATATAATTGACTACGAGAAAAAAATAGTTTTGGAAGGAAAATCTTAAGAATGGCAATAGGTAAGGTACTATAGTACCCATCTTTATACCTGCGTTTTAAAAAAATAATATAATAATAAATTTAAAAAACAATATATATATATATATATATATATATTAATACTAGTATTTTTAACTCATGTACTATAAAAAAGTATTTTCTCAAAAATATAAATTTTTGAAAAATTATTTTAATGAATTAAATATTTATAATGTATATAAATTTAAAAGAAAGAATTTTAATAAAAAATAAATGGCCACAATAAAATTTTATAATAAAGAAATATGTGTATATAAAAAAAATTATACTTTTTTATCTGAAGAAAAAATTAATAAATAAGAATTAACAATAATTTTTTATATTTTATATATTTTCAAAAACTTCTTTGAACGTAAATAAATAGTAAGAATAGTATTATTTAGATTTAATAGTTGTGCATGTAATGCACATGTTGTATAAGAAAATATTATTTTAAATTAAAATATAAAAATAAAATTTAAATATTATCAATAAATAATAAATTTACAGTAATAGTAGGTGATTATAAAATTTATAAAATATTTACAATATGTTTATTATTTATCATTCATTTTATGATTTAAATATTAATATAATTTTATTAACAAAAATATTTGTGTGAAAATTATTTTATATGTGTGTCATATATAAATAATATTTTTTTTAAAAAGTCAATCTCATATTAATTATGTAATAATTAAATTTTATTAGCCTAATTAAATGATATAAAATAATAAATAAATTTTTCTATTAAAAATATTAACCAAAATAATTTTTTTGGTTTACTTTATTATTAAATATATTTTATATTAATTTTATATAACTTCACATAAGTAGTATAATAATATAAAAATTCAATACATAGTTGTAAAACAAAATTAAAACATACACACACACAAATATATATATGCGGGTATGGGACGGGGTGAGTACTTAGATACCGATATCGCACCCGTCCCCATTAAAATTTGCAAGTTTTTACCCACACCTATATCCGTACCTATGTAGCGAGTAAATACTCTACATATTCTGGGTAAATTTTGTAGATGCTCATCGGATACCTTACTTATTGTCATCCCTCCCAACATACTTAAGAGATTGACCTTGATTGATTTTTTTTTTTTGTTATTGCAAAAGAAAGAACAATTGAAAATTGTCTTTTTTGAAACTTAAAAGGTGTCCTACTATATGAAAGAGTCAAAAATAATCTTGGTATGAATACCTTTTGACTAATATTGTTTCTAGAAATAATCTTAGCTTCAAGGATATAATTACTAATTAAGTTTCATTGCACGCGCCAGAAGATTGATTTATATTTCTTAATAATATAATAGAAACACAAATCTTCAACTTCAACTCATGTGTAAAAGATCGAATGATATAATAGTATTAAGAAATTTTGAAGTGTGAAATTTGCATCGTCGTGGAATCAAAACTAAGATATGTTGTTATACACTTCAACTAAAAAAATCTAAAACAGCTTCAACTTTTCATCGACCAAAATCATCTACATGTTATTGACTTGACTTTTATTTATAAACTCAAAAGAAAATCACAAATGAATTATTTGAATCATTATCCTCAAATCAACTTTCTCATGTCGTATTTCAGAAAACATTGAAATAGTAAGTACCATTTTGGAATAATATTATTTCAAACAAATAACATGTATTTTTCTTTATATATATATATATATATATATATATATATATATATATATATATCAAATAAAATAGATTTTGTTTCTTACTTTTAAATAGTTTACGTCTGTCCATATAACTGTATTTACAATATTAAAAGCATTTGATTATTTATTTTACATTTTAAAATGTAACATGCATAAACTTATAAATTTATAAACCTATATTAATTCTATTAGTTATCAATTTCTAATAATAAAATTTAAAATAAATATTAATATTAAAATTCAAAATTGTTTTAAACATTACATGAATGATTAACCATTAATATTAAAATTTAAAAAGACCTTACACGTTGCACCTTTCAAATATATAAACTCATGTTAATTCTTATTTATTCTATTGTTTCATGACTTTTTGAATATATAAACCCATTAATCTGTATTCAATCATTCCATTATTCTTCATTAATCAAGTATCAATTATCAGTTTCTAATAATAAAATTTAAAATAAATCATTAATATTAAAATTTAAAACTGCAAATTAGAGATAAATGCATTTATTTGATTTAAATTAAACCATTAATGTTTATTATTATAAGAATAAATGCATTAGTATATTAATATTTATGCAATTGTGAATGTATTAATTATCAGTTTCTAATAATAAAATTTAAAGTAAATCATTAATATTAAAATTTAAAGCTGCAAATTATAGATAAATGCTTTAACTGATTTAAATTAAACCGTTAATATTTATTATTGTAAGAATAAATGCACTAATATGTTAATATTAATGCAATTGTGAATGTAAATTTTTCTCTAAAACTCAAAGTAAACCATTAATATATTCAAATTTGCAAATTAGAGATAAATGCATTCAACTGGCTTAAATTGAACTATTAATATTTATTATTGTAAGAATAAATGCATTAATTTTTTAATACTAATGCAGTTGTGAAGGCAAATTTTTCTCCAAAATCCATCTACTTTTATATATATAAGAATATAAAGATAAAGATTAATTATTCATGTTACATTTTAAAATGTAACATGCATAACCTTTCAAATATATAAATTCATATTAATTCTATTAGTTATTAGTTTCTAATAATAAAATCTAAAATAAAAATTAATATTAAAACTGAAAAATGCCTTAAATATTGTAAAAATAATAAACCATTAATATTAAAATTCAAAATTAACTTAAATATTGCACCTTTTCGAATATACAAACCTATATTAATTCTTATTTATTCTATTATTACATGACTTTTCGAATATATAAACTCTTTAATTCTTATTCATTCATTCTATTATTTATTCATTCTATTATTCTTCACTAATCAGGTATCAACTATCAGTTTCTAATAATAAAATTTAAAGTAAAACATTAGTATTAAAATTTAAAACTGTAAATTAAAGATAAATGTATTTAGCTGATTTGAATTAAACTATTAATATTTATTATTGCAAGAATAAATACATTAATATATTAATATTAATGCAGTTGTGAAGGTATTAATTATTAGTTTTTAATAATAAAATTTTAAGTAAACCATTAATATTAAAATTTAAAAGTACAAATTAGAGGATAAATGCATTTAAGTGATTTGAATTAAACTATTCATATTTATTATTGTAAGATTAAATGCATTAATATGTTAATATTAATGCAGTTATGAAAGTAAATTTTTCTATAAAACTCAAAGTAAACTATTAATATTAAAATTTAAAACTACAAATTAGAGATAAATGCATTCAACTGATTTAAATTAAACCATTAATATTTATTATTGTAAAAATAAATGTATTAATATGTTAATATTAATACAACTATGAATGCATCAATTATTAGTTTCTAATAATAAAGTAAACTATTAATATTAAAATTTAAAATTATAAATATTTAACAAATTTGAATTAAACTATTAATATTTATTATTGTAAAAATAAATATATCAGTTTATTAATATTAATGTAGTTGTAAAAGTATTAATTATCAGTTTCTAATAATAAAATTTAAAGTAAACCATTAATATTAAAATTTAAAACTGTAAATTAAAGATAAATATATTCAAGTGATTTGAATTAAACTATTAATATTTATTATTGTAAAAATAAATGTAGTAATATGTTAATATTGATGTAGTTGTAAAGGTATCAATTATTAGTTTATAATAATAAAATTTAAAATAAACTATTAATATTAAAATTTTAAACTATAAATTAAAGATAAATGCATTTAACAAATTTAAATTAAATCATTAAATTTTTTATTTTTAAAATAAATATATTAATATATTTTCTTTTGAAACTCATCTCTAAATATTATATTATTTAAATATTAAAAATTAATACTACATGATATGTTAAGAATCATTGTTTTATACACACACCTCAAAAATATATCCTAAAATTTTTAAAAAATTGTTGTCCCAATTTTGTTTTCACAAAACATTTTATTTTATTTATATTGTGCAATATTTCTATTCTAACACATGGTCGATGAAAGGGACTTATCCTTTTCTCTGAAGAGAAATTCTCCTTGTTCAGACAAAAACAGTAAGGCATGGGACATTAGTTGCGTTTTGAAAATGACGAGTGAAATATAATAAAATTAAATCACTGATATATTATTTAAATACATTATGACAAAACATAATAAATTTTCACTCCATTTGTAAGAAGAAAAATAAGATAATTGAAGAAAAGGGGAAGGGACAAATTCCATCATGGTGAACCCATTTCATTCCATCTCTTACGAGCCATGAAAACAATGCATATATTTGCACTTGAAAGACAGGTGTGGCTCTTGCAAGTTTCGGCAGAGAAGCCATCATTCCAATTTGGACTCTACCGACTATTGTGCATGTTAAGGAATAGCTAGGCATGTGATCTCACATGTGACTGCTTCAATCTATCACTGATCCGACAAACAAAATTAAGAAAATGTTGACAAACCAATCTTCATCAGATAGGAATTGGATGTCTATAACATAACACTTCAGTTTCCATTCCGTAACGAAAGAAAGTTCTGGATCAGTGAAACGCAATTCAGCAATGTTTGCAGTTCCAGACCCACTTTTCTTACTCCAATTTCATTTTGCTAACATAATTATGAGACTATGCTATCCTATCCTATGGTATCGCAACAATAGGAGGATAAAAGGGTAGCACTGTAGAAAACCAAGATCTTGGCCCATGGTCAAATCCATGACAAACATATTCGTAGTCCTAGGTGCCGTAGGTTGTCTAATATAACTAGGTGAAGGGACAAAAACTTCAGAATTATAACATTAACATGTTTCATCTTTAATTTTTTTTATTTTTAGTGTTTAAATTCAGTTATAAAGATTAAAATTAACAAATTTTATTTTATTAGAAAAAGTTGATTGAAAGACTAAATACATAATCGTCGAATAATCTATTTTGATTTAAAGGGAAACCAGGCTCATAAAAGACAACAAAAGTTGTAAGAAAAAGTATGGTTTATATGTATACAGCAGCTTTAAAGTACCCATAATTATATCACATTAGAATTTGTATACAAACCCAAGCATCTAACTAAGAGCAATTATTTATGGAACAAGAATTAGAGCACTAATAATAATTAGGGTAGAAAGGGGAGGGGAAAAAATCAGCCATTCAATAATAGTTTAACTATGGCTGCAGCCACGTCCACGAGCTTCTGCATAATGCTATTTCTATCACTTATTGGTGACTGAGTTGAGCCAGAGAATTTCTTGTCACAAGAAGTTACTTCCTTCTCAGCATAAAATATGTTGTAACTGGCAAACCCAAATTGACCTTGTCTTATGGCATCAGCAGCTTGTGGGAGAATGTATTTCACAATTGGAACGTAAGACTCAGCACAGAACGCCAATTGTTGCTCCAATTGTCGGTCTGTGGTTTGCTTGATCAACTCTTCAATATAACTCAGTGTGTCAGTAGCATTTGCCAGAATGTCGTTCACCATTATGAGTGCCATGCCCTTTGGATCATCTTTGGGGGTTGAAGGATTTGAATGTAAGATTGAACTGCAGAGGTCATAAAAGGGTGTCTTTTTGCATATTTGGTCTATCAAATCCTCATTTTCACTCCCATCAGAGGATTGAGTAGGTGTGAAAAGAACACAGGATAGAAGAAGAATATGGACTGCAAAAGAGGACACGGAGAGTGAGCTCATCCTCATTTTCTCTTGTGATTGGTAGGGGAGTGAATGACCAAGGTTCTTTCTTGGCTGCTATTTAAGGGTAGTGAGGTTAATTTGCTCGTTGATTGAGTTGAAAAATTGAGATTTGTTTGCTACTAATTGAAAAAAATAAAAATTCATGGGACCCTTTACATGGGTGTATTTTAATTTTAATTTTTTAAAAATTGTTTCAATTATCTTTTAACGATGCCTGGTTAATTAATATTTTATCACATCTTAATTTTTAGTGAAACTATACCATCAACAGAGATCAAAAGTAATGAATTTAGATAAACTATAGACTAAAATAAAAAATTAAAAACAAATTAAATCTCACAAAAGTTTTAAAAAAATTAAATAAATAAACTCGATAGTTTCCTGTGGTCTTTTCAGATATAATAATTGTCACAGGTGTGTTGTTTGTTTGCTTTTTGTAAACATGGGCTACAAGTGCCAATGCAATTGCGTCAACACATTGATGTTAAGGTTAATCCTCCTTGTATCACGGACATCTTGTTTCAGCTGGCTTTTTTGTTCCCAACAGTGCCACATCTTCCTCTGTGTTCCCACTGCCACCCCTGTAAGATGACAAATTAGAGATCTTTCGAGATGATGTAGTTCATTAACCCTTTCCTTGGGAATCAAAGAAAAGAGGGAGCACAGGACATAACTGAGATTACGTTCATTGAAGACAAGATCTTGATGATTACATGTGCTACCCCTATCTTGTTTTCTATAAAGATCAAGGCATTGCCATCGATATATCCTTGCACAAAGACACACTAACAGCAACCATAATTAGCACAGCTTCAATTCAAAGAGTCACAGTTATCAACTGTCTTGTTATTAATAACAAGCATAGCATCATTCTTTCTGTACCCTCTATATTGCCATTGAACACTTTTTAATTGCTTTTATGCCGACATGCTTGAACATTTTCCCCACTGCTCGTAGCCTGAATCAAATCAGTGACAAAAGAGGACCTATTAAGAATTACTTTTAAATATGGAATGCATTTTAAATCTTAAAACAATTGGTTTAAATGATTAAAAATTGTATATTAGTTGGTAATTCTTTTTAACTTGACAATTACTTGGCTCTCCAAAGCGAATCAATTTTATATAATTTGATTCGCATCTTGTGGTTGGGATCACAGGAAAAGACAAAATGGGAAAGCTTGTCGAGGTTCCAAACGAAGGATCGTCCCTCACCAATAGCTGCTGCCAAAGGGTCCCCTACTTGGAAATTGAACCAAACGTCCTTAAACTCTGTGAGGTCATTCCAACCTAAACGGGTATTAAACGACAGAAACAAAAGGACGAACCAGTATCCATAAATTTTGTCGGTTCGATGAGCCTTTCCATTTCTACTTTCTAGAGGTTCGACAAACCAAAATAATTTTCTAACCCACAATTAGTTAACAAAATTAAGGGGAAAAATAAGTAAAAATCAATTTAGTCCTGAAATTAACATTAATTATAAGTTAACTTGATCAAACTTTTATGGAAAAAATAAGATTAAACTTTTACAGAAAAAAACTATTTATTATCTTAATAAAATAAAATAATAATAAATATTATATTTTTAAATAAAAAGTCATTATCTATAGATATTTAAAATCAACCTTAATAATGTTAATAAAATTGTTATATATATATATATATATATATATAATGTGATTTTTATATTTTAGAATAATGTTAATTATTTTATTATTTAGTGCTAAAAGATATTTTATTAATTTTTTATGTTTTATTTTTTTAATAGTGGTTATTAAATAAGAGATTAATTAGATTGACTAAGAAGTTAGAGTTTTATATGATCCTTTGACCACATTAAATAGCATTTACTGTTGATTTAATCTATAACTCTTTAAATTTATATTTTTTATATTTAGTGTAATTAATATATTTAATATAACATATATAGTTGACGTTCTTTTTTTATATTTTAAAGAAACGTTGATTTTTCATTTACTTGATGTCGAAAAATAATTTACTAAACTTTTCATGTTTCATTTATTTTATAATAATGGATATTAAATGAGAAATTTGTTTAATAACGTGATAAATTGGAGTTTCGTTTGACTCTTTGACCATGTGAAATAGTATTTAATATTTATTTAATTTATAGCTATTTTCGAATTGTATTTTTTTAATTTTTTTAATCTTAAATTTAGTACTGAATTTAAGAATATAAAAAAATTATTAAAAAAATATTTATTATATTAAAGTTATAAAAATGTAATAAATATTTTATTTCAATAAAATTTTACTGTAAATATTTACTTAAATATTTTAACTTTTTTATAATAATTTAATTGTGAATATTAAATGAAAAAGTATGAGAGATGACATAAGTTAAGAGTTTTGTATGACTCTTTGACCATATAAGATAACGTTTACGACACAGTAAATATGATAGAATAAAAAATATAAAACATGAGTTAGATTAAGAGACAATAATAAAAGAGAATGTTAAACTTTTACTTCATATTATATTTAATATATATTAAAATAATATTATTTTATTTAATGTTTGAAATAAATAAATAAATAAAAATAATATATAAATTCTATTTAAATGATAAAAATATTTTTTATTAAAATTAATATAATTTCAAAAAAATTAATTTATTAACTTTTCAATAATAATATAGATCAAAAATTAAAAAATATTCACGTGTACAAATATTATTACAGTATTAATATTAGATTCTAATTATTTTTTCATTTTTTTACCATTAAATTTTACTTTTAGAATAAATTATAATAAAAAAGTATGTATAAAAATTAAAATTATAACATATAAAATAAGTAAACAAATTTTACATAAATTAATTTTCAAAAAGATAATTTATATAAATTTTTTAATAAAAATTATTGAAATTATATAAAATATTAAAAATACTATAAAGTATGAGCAAAAATAATGAAAAAAAATTAAATTCTAAAAATTCTTGACTCATTACCTTCGCAAAGTAAGAATTTGAATTATTAGAATAAAATAAAATATTACAATATCTTAAATTATTATATTTTATTGTTCAACAAACGTTAAGAAAAATTAATGTAATAAATTATGGTATTTTTTATATTATTTTAAGAAAAACATTATTACATGCATTTAATTTATTGTTATTTTTAAATTATAGTTTTTACATGATATATATATATATATAATTTTTTATATTAAAATAATATTATTTTCTCGTTTATTTAGTATTAAAAATCAATTTAGTGTTTTTTTTATTTGTTTTGTAATGGTAGTTATTAAATGAGAGGTGGGTACAATGTTAAGACAAGTTGAAGTTTCATGCAACTATTTGACTATACATGACAATATTTAAATTTATTTTAATTTTGACTATTTTTTAATTATCTTTTTATTTGTAGTATATTTATATATATTAATTTGTCATATTATTTATGAGTATTAATCTTTGAATGAAATTATTTTTTCTTGTATTTTTAAATAAGAATGTGTTTAGAAATATTTTCAAACAAAAATATTTTTAAAGATAAGTTTTTAACTATGCCAAACAAATTCTAAATTATATATTGATTTTAATTTAATATTATTTTGTATTTTCAATTTTCCTTATTTTTAATATTATTTAACATTATAAAATATTTATTATTATTAAAAAATTATTCCTTTTTAAAAATATTTGAATTTTATTAAATTTAAAAATAGTCATATAATATGTTTTAATTATTTATCTAAAAAATATTAATTTTAATAATACCGATGGAGTGTAAAAAAAAGTACTAGTTAAATCAAACATATCTGGTTTTTTTTTTATATTTTACAATAAGATTGTCTCTTTCTTTTATTTAGTGTTGAAAACTGATTTATTAAAATTTGTGTTTTATCTGTTTATTGAGTGATGTGATAAGTCCGAATTTCATGCGAGTGTTTGGTTGCATAAATTGCATTTATCGTTCATTCAATTTGTAAACGCATCTTGTTGATATATATATATATATATGATTTCTTAATATTTTAAAATGTGATTAATTAGTTTGTTTATTTAATATGAAAAGTTGATTTACTAAAAAAATATTTTTTTTATTTTATTATTAAATGAAAAGCTGAGAAATTAAAATTTATTGGGACTCTTTAATTGCATAATTTTATTTTATATCATTCTTACTTACGTATTTACAAAATTAATTTTAATCTTGTTGATTATAAAATTCTTGACGATATGTATTTGTACTTAATTTTAATTTTTAAAATAGATAAATATTTTATGCTCGTTTAATTAATTTTTGTTTATTTTTAATTCTAGATACTATTTATTTTTATTTTTTTTGTCATGCTTTCATTTTATAATCTTGTGCATAGCTCGCAGTTATACCAGTCTCATGATTAAATTGAATAATAATTTTTAAAACCAACAATTAAATTTACTTTTTCATACTTTTGATGCTATTTTTTATTTATAAATTTAATATTAACCTGTCAATGTACACCATAAAAGTTAACATTAAAAATTATCTAGATCAAACTCTAATTTTGACAAGAGAAGGATGCTAAAGGCCCATAGCTAAATACTCCCCTCCTATCATAAATCACATACCTAAATGCTGCCAACGACTTTCCAATAATTGAATAGCAAAAATAGAAAACAAAAACAGAGAAAGGACATGGGAAAATAGGGTTGAAAATTTTGAACAGAGCACTGCCAACAATACGTGTTTCAGAAACCCGATACAACGAGAGTGCACGATTTTACATTTCAATGACACGTTAACTTAATAGCACTTTTATTAAACGTCACATAAATAATAACATATAAACATTAAATTGCATAAATAAATCCCTTTGAGTAACTAGAGCAATTGTCTAACAATAGCCGCAGTTGTGGCTGCAGCATCATGCCTAGCATTGTTGTGATAAGTGAGTGGTGATTTCCCAGAGAAGCTATTCTCACAAGAGGTGGCTTCAACAACAGCATCATTTGCACCATCTTCTGCAAACTTTGGGTCCCCTTTCTGCAAAGCTGCAACAGCTTGCGGCACATCAGCTTCCAGAATTGCTTTGTATCGACCAGCACACAAAATAAGTGCTTCCTTTTGATCAGTTTCAGATCCTTCCTGAAGCAGTTGGTGGATTTTGTCCAAGGCATTGTCTGCTTTGGCTTTGATTACGTTAACCATGATTAGTGCTAACCCTGTGACATCTGCATTGGAACTACGCGGGTCAGATAAGAGGTATTGAACGCAGAGGTCATGATGGGGTGTTTGCTTGCAAGTTTCTTCTATCAGATTGGTCTCCTTTTGAGGGATAATTTTGTGGTTACTTACTGGGGTTGAAATTGTGGCGAAAAGTAGAGTGCAGAAGATGAGAGATAACGGCTTCGAGTTTCTCATGTTTTAGAGAATGAGAAAGAAAATAATATAATACAAGTAGGGAACTGAAAATTTTGTTGAGACTTTTTATAGTTCAGAAGCTGTGCCAGATATTGTGCCGTGCAAGAAAGTGATTCTGTTTCTGGCCCCGGGTTAGCTTTATCTTGCTTAGGGAGCTGAAAATATGCATTTGTTTTGGTTAATTATAGCATTTTCGTAAGGTAGGGAGAGAGATTATTGAGTGGTATATGGTTCCAATCACTCAAATGTAGTCAAGTGAATTTTTATTTTTTGCAAATTTGTAAGTGTTGTTTTGGTGGAACCACCATAGTATTACACACTGCAAAATTTTTTTGGAGGGGTATGCATGCATTTTGAAATATGAGTAAAAAGGTTCATATATTATCTAATTTTCAAAATTACGAGTATTGTTAAAGTTGGTTTTTGAAATAAGGAACAAAATAATTAGCTTTTAAAATTGAAAAATAATTGTTCATTTCAATCTTTGATATTAGGACCTGCCATTTTGACGAATACTAGTCAATCTGGAGTCAAGTATTAGAAAGTAAATTTACTAATAACTATCAAATTCAGGAATTAGACTAACTATTTTAACAGTTAATTTGGTCATTGATCTGATTAGTTAGTCTTCTACAAAACTATCTTGTATGGTTGGTGCTGTTTGTTTGAGCTTTCATATATCTTAACAAAATTTTAATATGTATTATCATTTTATAAATTAAATATTAAATATATATTATCTTAAATATAAAAAAATATTTAATAATTTTGATTAAATAATGATTAGCCATTCCTATTTGTTTACAAGTAAAAAACTTCCTTTTTACATATGAATGGACAGTTTAACAGCATGATTGGTCCCAGCTTCGCTGTCGTGCCTACGTGAGTAATGAATGCTTAATTGCTAATATTATATTTGATTTTTGGTCCAAAAAATGGACATTCTCCTAATCACAACTCACAAGACGAGTCACGTAACCTCACAGCTTGCACAAGGGACATTCTTTTATGAGTGACTTGTGTACATGGCTTGCCGTGAATTTAATCGAATACAGATTTTATAACAGAGAATATAACTTAGCTTGAATTATATATTTTTATTTAAATATAATTTTTGGATTAAAAATAAGAGTGTGAGAATTAATTCTTTAGTTATAAACATTGTTGTCTAACATGATTTTGGCTGGTGAAAATTGGAAAAACAGTTAAAAATGAAATGGCTGCATAATGTAGCCAAATTTAATGCCCAAGTAGTAAGGCTCATGTAAAAGCTTCTTCAGGGGTCGTGTCGCTTTAGTGTGACTAAATGATCACTGGCCAATAGATGCTATGGTGAAGAGTTGTGCTTAGATGTTAATAAAACGCAATCTGCAGCCTAAAAAGCAACGAACACCAGAAAAGGACAAAACAATCCAAAGATTATTTTGGTTCACTTGATCTTATCACAATATCACTTCTTTCAACCCCACCATTTGTAAAGAAGAATGAGACAGGCATTAGTGAGAGGGGAAAGGAGAAGAACAAAACATCGGTTATGCGGCCTATGCCTATCCATACCTGCTTCCAATTACCAATAATTGAAAAAGGATAAACATAGGTCTCTCTTCATTTTTATTTTTTTATAATACACGAAAGGATAAAGTTCTTCTTAAAACGTAGCTTCCTGTCTTTCTCTTATAATGAATGAAGGGAAAAATCCAAATTTTTGTAAGGATCATAATAGCCCACTTCATTTTGGAACATAAAATTTTCATTGTTATTTATGAAAACTATAAGCTACAGGGAAGTATATTTTGTGTCTATACAAATTAAATGTTTTGGAAATTCGCGAGAATGGATTGGATTTTACATACCCGTAATTCTAAATCTTGTTATAAATTTTATTTTTTAAAATATTAAGAATATTTACTTTTTGTTTATTTTATTAAATATTTAAAATATTTACTTCAAATTTTAGAACTGAATTTAAGTATTTAAAAATAAAAAAAAATATTTGAAATATATATATAACAAATAAATTTTAATAAAAATTTACTCCCTTTAAATATTTAAATTCTAACACTAAAAATTGACAGTAATAAATCCGACAAAATTTTTAAAAGAAATATTATAAGAAAATATGGCGTTACTCTTTCTTTTCATGCAACATTTTATAACTACATTAAAGTACTGATTAATAGCATTCATACATAACACCAACTTATTAATTAACCCAAGCATAGATTTGATCAACTAGAGCAATTGTCTAACAATAGCTGCAGTAACAGCTGAAACAGCATGCATAGCATTGTTCTGACTGGTGAGGGGCGATTTCCCAGAGAAGTCACTCTCACAGTAAGTAGCCTCATTAGCAGCATCATTTGCCCCATCTTCAGCAAATTTGGGGTCACCTTTTTGCAGAGCTTCAGTGGCTTGTGGAATATCAGCTATTAAAATTGCTTTGTATTTGTCAGCACAAGAACTCAAGGCTTTCCTTTGCGTCGGTCCTGCTCCCAACCTTTGTAGCTCATGGATTTTTTTTAACCCATCGTTTGCTTTTGCTTTCATCACTTTGACCATGATTTGAGCCAACCCATTAACATCAGCACCAGAGCTTCCAGGGTTTGCCTTTAGAGATTGAAGGCAAACACTGTAGTTGGGTGTTTTCTTGCAAGTGTTCTCTATCGTTTTTTCATCATTTGGCAACAAGGTTCTGCAGTGGCTTCCTGGTGTTGAAATCATAAGAAGAATTGTTTGAAGAAAGAAGCTAAGAATTAGGGGCTTCAAGTTTGTCATTGTTAATAGTTGAAAGAGATCAATGATATATGGTAGGTAGTAGAAGTAATGAGTTATATGATATGACGACTTTGTTTTAAAGAATGGAATGCTGTGCTAGGCCAATTTATAGATAGGATCAGATGAATAGACCCCGTCTCCCTTTACTTTTCGCCAATGGAAGAGGGCTATTAACAATTTATCAACCATGGGATGTTAAATACAAAATGAAGGAAAAGATCACGGAGAGAGAGAGAGAGAGAGAGAAAAAAAGTGACAATTAATTATTAAAAGATCAAGTAAAAATGCGTAATTACTAAAAGTTAACTTTGACAAAATAAATAAATTCTAAATATAAATATGTTAAAAGAAGGTTAATAAAGATTAATATACGTTTTTTAACATAAAATATTAATAATAAACTTTTTAACATCTTTTTTAATATATTCTTAATTATCAATAAATTTTATTAAAAACTATAAGGATAACGTAGATTTTACTCTTTCTTATTCATAATAATCTAAAGTATGTTATATATATTTTTTACTTATAATTTAACATTTTTTCTTATATTTTTTATTTTTTAATAAATTTTAGATAATATTTATAAATATGCTACTAATATTATTCTTTTCAACATATATAAATGGTTTTTTAAACTAGTACATTTGTTATTTTTTTATCTGTGATGTAAGGTTTGAATTTTATAAAAAATTATTATTAAAATTTTTATTATATTAAAAATTTCTTGTTTAATGCTTTTATCAAATAAATAATAATTATAAAAAAATTATAAATAAAATGTTAAATATTTATTAATTTTGTAAGATAATAACAAAATAAAAAATTACAGTAATTAAAGTGTAAAAAAAACAGAGGCAGTAACAACCTTTTATATGAATTAGATTAGTATAACTTAAAATTAAGAATGTGCAACTATGATCTTTTAAAATTATTCTCTCCATTCAAGCTTGCTTTAAGTGCTTCAATACCCACCGTTCTATGAGGACCTTGCAATTTTTAATTTATAGCAGCTCAACATGCATATTGTATCACAAGTAATGACAAAGATCCTAATTTAATTTGTATGAAAAGTAGATTTAAGCGAATTTGATTCTATTCTAATAAAATATAAATTATAATTATTAATTAAAAGTAATTTTAACAACGTCTAAAATAATATATATATTAATCAATACAATTTATTACTAACTTTGCTGAAAAATTAAATTAATAAACTCACTCCATGAGTTTTCTCTTCCACTATCTTAATTTTTATATGCACAAGTGAAGGTATTTAATGCTTTTTATAACATTTTTCCTTTAATTTTTATATATCTTCTTATTGTATAAAAAATTATACAAATGTGCAATATAAATACAATTTCTTTTAATTAAAATTGTCCACAGTGTTAGTTTGCGGCTGTATTTGCATACGATGATTGGCTCGTACTCGATGAGATGCAATTAGCACTATTTTATTACAAAGGAAAGTGCTGAAACATAAAATTTATGGTTGCGTATCTCATGCTCGAGCGAAGACAGCAAGATGCCATTATTGCCATCATATTTTTTGGCTTTGTTTTTAATTACATGCATAAATATGAAATCCTTACACTAAGTTGCATTGAAGTTTTTAAACAAACAAAAAAAAATAGTTAGACAATCCAAAAAATTTAAAATATGTTTAAGAGTTATATTTAAAAGAAAAAAAGATAGATTAAAGAATTTTATTTGCTGTTTAAAAGTTAATTAATTTTTAAAAAATAGTCATAAAATTTTTCTAAACCTCTCAAAATTCTTTTAAATTTAATCATGTGAGTTCTTCCATTTTAGAAATTTTTTAATCTATTAGAATATTTTTTCATATTAATTATTATATGAATGAAATAGGAACAAAATAAATATTTTTAAAAAAGTGTGATGTTAATTTAAAAAATAAAAAATTATTTTTAAAAAAAATAACAATAAATTAATTTTTTAAAATATATTAATTTTTAGAGTGATATTTTTTAAAAAATTTATATAAAATATAAATATAATTTTTAAACTGATAGTTTTAAAATATATTAATTTTTAAAAATATTAATTTTTAGAAGAAATTTTTTTAATTTTTATAATTTTTGAAAAAAATATAAAAGCCAATAATATCATTTATATATTTAAACTCTCTTTTACTTTAAATTAAACATCAGAGAATTTAATTTCCTTTTTCTTTTAATTTTTTTTTTCTCCAAACTCCCAAATGAAACTTTAGTAAATTATATATATTGTATTTGATATTTGCTTGGATCATTAAGTAGACAGCCAATAGCTGATCAGAACTCTAAGATAAAGCGGTGCAAAAATTATAAAGAATGCAAAAACATAAAATTTACGGAATGCAAAATATTAAAAAATTATATTATTAATAGTAGTTTATTAAAATTAAAAGGGTTTATAAAAAGTGGAGGGGGTGCATTTCCCCCCTCAACTCCATGATCGATAACTTTTGATCTATACAGCCATAGGAAGAATGGTTGCAAAAATGGAATTGGTGCACACAGAGGGGTTCTTTCCTTGCACTTCTGATGCATTATGCGTTTTCTGCACACACGAAACTGTCATATCCTTGCATTTACTTGTATGTTATCTGACTGTATAGTTCTTTCAAAGTCTTCTGGTAAGTGAATGTGGGATAGGATTAGGATGATCGATTATGTGATATAATATGCAATAAAGCAAACATGTTGCTTAGCTTTAGGAAAAAGGACTTCTACGGTCCATGAATTACGAGAACGTGACATGTCTCCCTTGAATTTTCACAATAGGCTAGAACTGGCCAGTGAGGTTTTTCCTAACCAAACTTATAAAGTATAGATATTGGACTAAAAAATATTCAGTGTATGATTAATTTAAGATTAGTCTATATAATACTTTTTTCAAATGAGTTTTTAATTTAACACTTTTTATTAGTCATAATTAAGTATATACTGTTTTAACCAATCATTCATTAATACGAAAAGTATAGATCAAAAGGCATGAAAGATAATCAAGCATATATATTAAATTTTAAATATATTTAATATATAATTTTATAAAGGAATATTTTCATATATTATACAGGAAAATCAGTTCACATTAATTAATGGAATAATATTTAATTGTTGGTATATTATACAGTAAAATAATCAGGAATGAGAACAATAAAATTCAGAATTCACAAGAAAATTATCAAACATTTTAAATTTCGCGACACTTTCTCCAAAAATGAGCACAACTTATGATATAATATGAGTAAATATTGTAATATCTTTTATATTTTTTAATAGTAAAAGAAATTAAATACATATATCAAAGCATACGCTAAATTGCATATTTTTAAAAAATAAATCAAGTAAATATAATTAAGCATTGACTTTTTAAATTTGTCTAAAATGAGCCCGGTAGGTTAAACTCTTTACACTATTTTAAATATTTGTATAACTAAAAATTAAGAAGTGTATCTTTTATAACTATATCGTGATTTTAATCTGATTATCATAAATTACAATTTTTATATTTAAATGTGAGACTTATACACGTGTGTATTTTTTTTAATTTTTTTTCATTTTAAATAAATTCACATATTTATCTATGCGTTTGAGTTCAATACTTTCATGTAAAAAAATTTGTACTTTGAGAATTAAAATTGTTATGATAAAAATATTTTTAACTCAAATGTAATTACTTTCTATAAAAAAATTTCAAATAAGATTATTTTCATAAAATATATTTTTGTTAATATTTAATCTTCAAGATTTATTTTAAAGTAGTTTTTTTTATTTAAAAACATTTTTAATATAATAAATATATTTTTAAAATATAAATTATTCAATAATAATCGTTTTAATTCAATCCTAAGAATTGATATTATATTTTTATATTATATATAAATTTATAATAATAATAATAATAGTAATAATAATTAGTCCACCCGAATTAATTTTTGGCAACAGAAAACTTGGGTTGGCGGGTCCGGATCCGGAGGAATCAAAGCTCCGGAGATGAGGCTAGAAAAGAAAACCCTAATTCTGGATCCGCTCGCTTCAGCAGCACGTGACACACGTGACTGTGAAATATTGTGAGCAGCGAGCGCCGCAATGCTCAATCACAATGTCTCCGTTGGTATGCAAAACTTTTTACATTGACCGTCCGATCGATTGCCACGTCATCGATCCGTGTGAACTCATGTATCGACGGCTCAGATGAGTGCTGCAGAGCAACTGGGAGAACGAGGCGAAGAGCATGCTAACATCACTGTCTTCGCTATTCTCCGTGCTCGATTTTCGATCGATTTTTTCCCCGTTTTCGGAATCTGGAGGAGAAAGTGCTGCGTCATTTGGATTCGAAGATGAAGGCCACCGACGAATTGAAGGAGCAGATTGAGGAAAACGAGGTCACGGTTTTGAGTGAAGACGACGATGAATATGAATCCGAGGATGAAGTAGAAGATGGAGAAGATGATGAAGACGACGACGAGGACGAAGACGAAGACGACGAAGACGACGACGACGATGAAGACGAGGATGATGCTCCTGCCGGCGGTGACGACGAAGATGAGGACGAGGACGAAGAAGAGCAAGGAGGTGATGGTGAGCGCGGTGGTGATCCTGACGACGATGATAACGACGATGACGACGACGACGACGAAGAGGAGGAGGAGGAGGAGGAGCACGACGAAGAGGTAGTTTACTCAGATTTGTTAAATCCCTAATTTGCAGAAATTGTTTCAGTTTTGGAGGCTTCACAAATATGGATTCTTGATTGTTTTGTTTGTTATATTTTGTTTATAGAATTTCACTTGATTCGTTTGATTTCGCTTTTTATTTTTTGTATGAAATTTTTAATATGTTCTACGCTAGGGTATTTTCTAGCATGTTCATTTAACCGTTTATGATTATTTTTGAAGACCTTGCAGCTTTCTCTGACTTTCCCCCCTTTTTAGATCATAATAGGTTACAGTAATAGTAAATCTGTTTGCGGGAACAAATGTTCAGTGATGTTACAGCTATCTATTTTTCTTTCTGTTTCAGACTTACGTGCATCAGTACGATTAGTACCGACTGAAAAAGGAGAGAGGAGAGGCCATATCTTAGTTCATCTGAATCTTCTTATTCATTAAGTAGTAGCACACTTTTGAATTCACTTTTTGAGCCCAAGAAACTTTACTCTTTTTTTATGTATGCTCAATTGTTTGGTATTCTTCTTTGTTTGATCTTTTATAGTTCATTTATATTTTATCTTGCTTTGTGATTTGTTCTTGTTGTATCATTGATGCTAACCATCTGGGGTAAACAAACAAAAATCCTGTTCACTTGTTATAATGAATGGACTGGGTCCTTTATTGGCATCGTTTGGATTGCTTGGATTTTCAGCAACTCTGTCTTATGATGTGGGGTTTGATAATTAATTTGAGTCTCTGTCAAAAGAACTCGACCAGTCTTACATAATTGGTCATCTTTAATTGCATTACGCAAGCGAGTTTGAAAATGAAGACAGGGGACATTCATTTTAGTTATCTGCATCTAATGTGTTGCTCCATTATTGTATTTAGGTCATTCTCTTGTAAGTATATTTCTATTTTGCTACTATGTCTTTTGGCATTTGAACTACTCTGACACAAAAAACTTTTAGGAGGATTTGGGAACAGAATACCTTGTGCGCCCTTTAGGCACTGCTGAGGAGGAGGAAGCATCGAGTGATTTTGAACCGGAGGAGAATGGTGAGGAGGAAGATGAAGGTGAAGATGATGAGGATGATGATAAGGCTGAGGTTCCACCTAAACGAAAGAGGTCAGATAAAGATGATTCAGATGATGATGATGGAGGAGAAGACGATGAGAGACCCTCTAAGCGATAGAATTATGAATTGATCCATTCTTTGGTTGGGGATCTATCTACTCAACCATAGGTCAAAATCTCACTCTATGTCCTTAAACAAATTTCACAGAAAGGATAATTAGGTTCGTGGAATTGTTTCTTGCTCTGTTGTATTTATATTTATATTTATATTTATGGTGAAGTGTTATTAGGTTTGCTAGTTTTGTCAGGTCGGTGCATAGTCAACAGTGGATTATTAAAACATGTGGTAGAACAAATTTTGCACTCTTGAATTTTATCTTCTAAGTACTTTCTAGGTCGGAAGATCTTGTGCATTACTATTTCTTACCCTGAAATTGTTGGTAGATCTCCTCTGATTTTGCATAACCGTTTTTTGTTTCTTACATGATGATGGCAACCCATGCAAGAAGAGTGTTAGTAGGAGACTTCTTAACATATTTTATATATATATATATATATATATATATATATATATTATTAGTTGAAATTTATTAAAATTATAGAAGTATGAATAAAAATAAATAGATTAGAAGTAAGATTCATGTTTTTAATAAGTTTTAGTTAATAATAAAGTTCTTTTTAACAAAAAATGTATTTGAAAGAATGTATATTTTTGGGGTAAAAAAATGTTATGAAGTGTATTGTTATTCTTGGTCCTTCATGCAATCATATGTTGGACTTGTGAGTACTGATTGCCTGTCGTACATAACTCATCTTTTTTGTGCGCGCACGAAATTAATTTCCCCATTTTTGTGTCCATTGTGTACACTGTAATTGGAAAATGTTTTTCTGCCGTCTTTTACTGAAAAGGGGTGAGGCATTTAAATTTTGGGATTAATTACGTTCTTGATCCATTTAACTTGAATTATGTTTTTTTTAAGTTAATTGAGTTAAAATATTTATACATTTTAGCAAATTTGCTCTTTAGCCGAATTTTTTTATCTAATTTTAAAAAATCATTATGATTTATTTAATTTTATAAATAAATTGATTAAATTATGTTTTATGTAAAATTAATCAATTAAAATATCAATTTTTTTTTTCAAAATAAAAATTCAATTGATTTATTTAAATAATAATCTCATTTCTTTTAAAATTTTATTGTACTTTTGTTTTTATTTCTTTAAATTATTTCTTGTTTTGTTTTCATCGTTAAAAATCTAAGAGGTTGTTTGAGAAGAGAAATTTTAAAAGAAGGAAGAGGAAAAAGTAAATTTTATATTTTAAATAAATATATTTAAAATTAATATTTTTTTAAAAATAAAACATATAAATTAATATATTGATATAAATTTAATATATTAATTATGTATTTGTTATTATCAATAATATATAATTATTTAAATTTAAATTTTGAAATATGTAATCTCTTTCTTACTTTTTCAAAATTTTCTTTCCAAACATACTTTAAAACTGAGGGTGCAAAAAATAATGAAAGTTTAAATTAAAAGAAAATTAATAAAAGTTTTTTTTTGCATACTTTTAAAAATAGATATATTTAATTATTTAACAGAATCAGAAGTTTAAATTATACATAATTCAATTTAAAAATAGTTTAATGATAATTAGGTTTTAATTTGGTTATAGTGGAGTCTAGGGTTGATTGGTGCTGAAGTTGGCCGAAGAGGGTCTGGTGTAATGCCCTAGGCAGCGCTAGGCCCTGGTTTGCGTTGCTTTCTGCCTACAATATTAGAAAACTGTATACAAGCCACTGAAATAGGAGTATCAATCAGCTCGTAACAAAGAAGCTCACATGCGGAAGGGGATAAGTTGTTGAAGAGTAAAACTGTTTACGTGTGTCATTCATTAGAACCGTTACACTCATGAAGAGTTGTTTTTGATTGAGCCGTGATGTGAAAAAACAAGACTCATTCGTGATTTTGATTGTTGTACTATTCGGTATGTGGGCCAAGGGATCATAGGCTTTTTTTATTTTTTATAAACTTTTTATTAAAATTTAATTTTTCTGGAGTGATTTCTCAATGCTCGTTTTTTGTTAAAAAAAAAACGGTATTACAAGACGAGATTCATGAAATCATAATACGTGTCAAGCTTCCATAATGTGTGTGATCACCACACGTGTTAATGTCTCAAATAATTTTACATCTCCAATGAGCAATACAAATATTATGCTATGCTACATGGCAGTGATACAAATCTCACCTAATATAAAAGGGGGACTCGTTGACAAGTTTTGACACATAGCATTGTCTATAAAAATTATATCTTATTAGTTATAGTCCAAAATAAATAATATCAAGATAAATATAATACGTGTGGTGATTTATTATTAAGTAAAGTGATTTATTATCAAGATAAATATAATAGTTATAGTCCAAATCTCACCTAATAAATAATATCAAGATAAAATACTATTTTTTAAGTAAAGTGATTTATTATTAATATATATTTAAAAAGTGTATAGAAAATTTAAAGAGATATAAGATATTAAACTTATTAAGACAACCTGAATAATAATTCAAACCAATCCTCAAATGTACACTAAACTTACATTTTGAAATTTAAACTCATTAAAAATAACTTTAAACTAAGCTTAAATTAGTAGAATGAGACAAGTAAGCATCTATAAATACATAAATGAGATTTTTTTTCTATTATAAATATAGATAAATTTTATAGCATAAAAAATTTAAAGAAGAAAAAGTATTACTAAGCACACAATTACATCAGCATTAGGTATATTCGTACAAATAAAATCCACATATTTAAGACCTAAGGCGATAGGAAATTGAATGTTAAAATTAAAATTGGATTTAACTAAACATGAAAACAATTTAATTGAGTTATTATGATTGTTGTTTTTAAAGTAAGGCAGAAATGGATAACACAAATTGAAATTTGAACATGGCGCGGGTAGAAATCAAGAATCCGGAACAGAAAAACCTAACCCTTAATTCGCCCACTTCAGTGGCACGTGACACACGTGACTGCAAAAATAGGGGTACCGAGCGCCGCAAGGCACAGTCACGCTATCTCCGCTGAAACGCAAATGCTTTTACATCAACCGTTCGATTGAATGCCACGTCATTGATCTGTGTGAATTCACAAATCAACGGCTCAGATCAGTGTTGCAGAGCACCTGGGGGAAGCGAAGGGAAGAGGCTGGTAACTTTGCTGTCTACTCTATTCTCCCGTGCTCGATTTTCGATTGATATTTTCCCCATTGAGGAACGCGGAATTTTGAATTCTCGCGGAGAAAGTGCTGTGATATTTGGATTCCTAGATGAAGGCCATGGAGCAATTGAAGGAGAACGTGGAGGAAAACGAGGTCATCTTTTTGAGCGAGGAGGAGGACGACGACCACGAATATGACTCCGAAGATGAAGTAGACGACGACGAAGAACTCGACAATGACGGCGAGGAAGACCACAATTGCGAAGATGATGCTCCTGGCGGCGGCGGCGGCGACGCCGAGGACGACGAGGAAGACGGAGAAGAAGAAAGAGGCGACGGAGAGCTCGGGGGTGATCCTGACGACGATGATAACGACGACGACGACGATGAAGAAGAAGAAGAAGAAGAAGAAGAGAGGGAGGAGTTGGAGAAGCAAGGGGAAGAGGTAGTTACTCGGATTTGCTGATCAAATCCCTAATTTGCTGGATTTTTTACTGTTTTGGATGCTTTGAAGATATGGATTATAGATTGTTTATGATTTTTACTTATCAATTTTCACCTGATTCGTTCGATTTCCATTTTTTTTTTCATTTTGATTATGTTTCATGCTCGGACCTAGGGATTGTTTTCTAACTTGTTCATTTAGTCATTTACGAATTTCTTAAGACCTTGCGGCTTTCTGAGTCTTTTTCTGCTTTAATTCTTATTTTTCTGAACTATAGGTTATAGAACCTGTTTGTAAGAGTGATAATTGTTTGATGTTACATCCTCATATGCTTTTTTCTTCTTCCTATTGTAATGAGAGGGGCTTAGATTCTCCTTGCTCAAATGTCCTTTTCCCTCGTGATATTTGGTCTGACCAAAATTCTGTTTCAGAATTATGTGCATCTGTACGGTTGGTACTGGTTTAAAAAGGAGATAGGAGAGTTCAACTGAATTTTCTTAATTATTAATTGATATATCGCTTTTGAATTTACTTGAAGATTATAGACATCCAATAAAATTTACTCTATTTTACATTTAATATATTAATATCATGAAATTGCTCAATTCTTTTAGTACACATTAGTGTTTGATCTTTGATAATTCCCTTTTTTTATACATTGCGGATACGTTCTTGTTATCTTATTTTTTTTCTTTCTAGAGTACGTAATTTTTTTCATGGAAATCAATGTTGTTCGAAACAGGGAAGATCAATGAATGTGACAAAACTCTCCCTGATTCTTGTTGTCTTATTGATGCCAACCATATGTGGCAAACAATGAAATCCTGTTCACTTGGAATGTGCATTGTATGAATAATCGGGTCTTTTATTGGCATGGTTTATATTACTTTGATTTCTCAGCATTTCAAGCTTTATGGTTTGGTGAGAGGGTTGAGAAACAGTGAGGTAGAATAAAATTTAAGGTTTCAGCGAAAAGAGCTAAAGGACACGTTGCACTTAAGAGGTTATCTGTCGTCTTTAAGTGAGAATGAAAATGAAGAAGCATTTGATTAATTTTTGTTATCTGTATCTGTTGTATTCCTCCATTTTTGTGTTGTTATCCAGCTTCAAATTTAATTTTCTATTTTGCTATGTCTTCCTGTGTTTGAATTACTTTGGCACACAACTTGTAGGAGGATTTGGGAACGGTGGAACATGACAGCCCATTAGGTGTTGACGATGATGAGGAAGATGAAGGTGATGATGACGAGGATAATGAGAAGGCTGAGGATCCACCAAAAAGAAAGAGGTCAGATAAAGATGATTCAGATGATGATGATGGAGGAGAAGGGGATGAGAGACCCTCTAAGCGATAGAGTTAGGTCCATTCTTTGCTTAAGGACTCAAAACTAGTCAACCACAGGTCAACATAGCGCTCTCTGTCTTTTAAACACATTTCAAAGAAAGGATAAGTAGGTTCAGGGACTTTGTTTCATTCTCTCTTGTAATATAATGGTGCAACATTATTAGGCTTATTATTTTCGTCTGCTTGATGCGTAGTCTATAATGGGTGAAAACATTTGGTAGAACAAAATTTGCACACTTTTATCTTCTAAGTACTTTGTTGATCTGTAGATTTTATGCATTAGTATATGATACACTCTAAAATTGTTGGCAGATTTCCTCTGGCTTTGCATGGTCATTTTACTACAATACTATTGTACTCGTGTGTTGCTATTGCATGTTGATGGGTGCTTCGTGTCTCTTGGACCTGTGCATGCTGGATCCACTCGAGTATTACACTTTTTTTTTTTGAGGCACCCAAAAAATGAATTCCCCATTGTTCATGATATATTGGGTCTACTACAAATAGAAAATATACCCCCTTTTTTAGCTAAAACTATGTGCTAGGTATTTTAGTCTTGCCTTGATGAGTTTCAACTGTAGGGAGGGTGAAACCATTCATACATCTGGAAAAGGTACCGTGAGTCGTACCTGCCATAAGAAAAGCTCATTCATAATTTATGACAGTTCAGAAAGCAAGCCAATATACCCGAATGAAATTATGGATTAATTGCGTTGCTTACCATTTCTTGCTCAAATCTTTTTTTGTCCGTCCAAGGCACCGCCAAATGTATATATATATATATATATATCAAGGGATGCCATGTCTTTTTTTGTTGATGTTTTATTATTATTATTATTATTATTATTATTTGTTGCTCTTATTTTGGCCACGGAAAGTTGAATTGAATTAATTGCCTGATGAATTAAACTAATCGGAAAAGAAAATTTGATGGCATTTCATTACAATTTACAATCAAATACTAGTCGAATCTCATGTCAGGACAGCTGGAGATAACGCGTAGTGACAGTAAAAGATAGGGAAGCTCAATATGGCCTCTGGTTAACGGAGTTGCGACCGGAAGGAACCGACCAACTAAGGTGAAATTCTTGGGTTTTTGACGAGTATATTTCTCAGAGAGGAATTGTTAGCACTTGGTTTTTAGGCCATGTCGGTGCTTGTCTTTCGGCCCTTGTGCCTCTTTATTTCAATTACAGAAAACATGCCTCGTTTATCGTCAACTGTATTTTAGAATTAGAGGTTTTCACAATTTTCAACTAACAATTTTTTTAAGAAAAAAGTTCAGCAAATTTATTAGCTATTTTTGACAAGTATATATTGTAGAATTTTATTTTTAACTTACAGTTATTTACATGCATCATTTCGGTTGTGGGATTTGGATTGGGTTAGCATATGTTTGTCAGATTTTGAGATACTTTAAAATGGGGATTTTTGTTGGTAATTTTTAATCATTATTCTTAGAACATTGATTAGGAAATCATAATTTTTTTATTAAAAATGTTATTATTTTAAGTTCCTTGTAATCTTAAATAGTCTAATACAACTTTTAATAAAAAAAATTGGTTGTAGTTCTTTGATTAATATTCCAACGATAGTTAGTAAGGCTTTTATTTTAGCAAGTCTTTGCGAATTAAACAATTTATTCTATCTTCTCAATACACATTTGCGGAAAGGGAATAAGCATGCTGTTAGTCAATTAAGATTTAAAACATTGTGAATATAATTTTCACGGGGACTGAGAAGAGCGGACGCCGTTTGATGTTATCGTTTGCATTCTGTTTCACAGAAGAGAATTATTAGAAACTTCCAGAAAAAGGGCAGAGCAGAAGAGGTTTTCCAACGCGATTTTTGTGATTGATTATTAATTTTTTTGATAATGGCGATTGGTTACTTTTTTATAAATAAAATAAATTTTAAAATTATTTAATTTACAAAATAAATATTTTTATTAATAAGTTAGAAAATTATTTAATAAAAAAATTAAAGAGAGTTTGTGACCTCTAAAAATTAGCTTATAAAAAAGTATTCTAAATAATATATTCAACTTATTGAAAGTTATTTATTAATATATTTTTTATTTTTAACCTTTTAAATAATATACACAAAATAATCCAAAAATTTTAGTAAATTTTAATCAATAATAAAAACTGTTTAAAAAGTATATTGTTAGTAATTTTTTAAATTTGAAATAACTAAAATAAAATTTGTAAAAATATAAAAAATCAAAATTTCTATCTGATGGAATTTTTTAATTTTCAATAATTAATAATACTAATTAATTATACTTATTTTTAAAAATAACAGAAATTAATATATATTCTCTTTTATTTTTTTCTTTGTTCACTTTCCTATAAACTATTTTCTTATAATCTCTCTTACTTTTTAAAAATTAAAAATCAATTATTTTAGTTAATTAGTATCGTTAATAGGACTAAACCTATAGAATTAATTTTATAATTTTAAAACAGAAGGACTAGTGTCGGTGAAACTGGTGCAGGACACGATCTCCACGGTTGGGCAGGTGTGTTGCACCATCGAGCATCCAATGACTAAAATAACCTTTAGATTTTCCCATCCCATTATATGTTATGAGGGGGAGAATAATGGAATTCAACTTGAACCACTGCGAGATAAGAGAATAATTAAATCCAGATTAAAGAAATTAAATTAAATTGTCGGTCGTTACTTACATGTACTACTTTTTCTAACAGTACAACGAAGCGCGTGAGTAAACAAAAGAGCAGAAGTCAAAATCGTCTTCTATTTTATTTTATCTTTTGCAATGCAACAGTCTAAACGCGAAAATATAAATATAAATTTGCTTTAATTTTAATGAGTTAAACTTATGAAATATTTAATTTATTTTTCACTTTAATTTGTTTATTTTTAAAAAAAGATGCATCCAATTATACCATCTCTCACACTCGCTGCCGCGATTATGATAAATTCTTTAGAGGAAATGGCATTTTCATTATTTATATTTTATAAAACGGAAAAAGAAACAATAAGAATTATGACGTGCGTCTCTCTCTAGGTGGCACTGGTTTTCTGCACCTCCAACACAGAAGCACAGTGAGTTCTACTTGCATCTCTCACCGTCACTGCATTCTTCTTTCTATATACGAACCCAGTCACAACCAGCATTTTCATTACACAAATTTATCCTCATTTTCATTCACATTGTGACTTTCTTTCTCTCTCGCAAAATTAGGTTCATTCTTCTTCTTCTTCACCAGATCTCGTCGCGGATCAGCGTCGAATTGCTCTCTTCTTCAAATGCTGCTTCAGTTCCTCTGACTTCCGTTGCATCGGAATTGCGTTGTGGTTCTTTGTGGTTCTTCTCCCTCTTGAGCTTTCTCAAAATGATTCTCTTCAGTCCTTTAACTCCCGGTCAGGTACCTTTTTGTTCGAGCTCTTGAGCTCTCAGATCTTGCACCGATTCGTGTTTTACTAAGTTCTGCGTATTTCAACTGTGGAATTTGACGCGTTTGTGTTTGTGCTCGGTGCGAGTAACTGATTTTTAATTTTTTCTGTTTTTGATCGTTGCAGGTCTCGTTCTTGCTCGGGATCATTCCGGTCATTGTGGCATGGATATATTCGGAGATATTGGAGTATCGGAAAATTCATGTCACTAAAGTGTAAGTTCGATTGATTATTCTTTTGCGGCGTGAATTTTAATTTGTGCTTGCTGGTAGAATGTTTGCATTTTCTGGCAGTGTAGCGGCAGCGAATTTTGAGATAGTTAATCAGTTATAGTTGCCGTGTTTAACCGTTGAGGTGTTGAGTTGAGTAGTTAGCCACTATAGATTTACATCCATATAGTTTGCAATATATAAATTTTTTAATATTGTTATGTCCACTACTGTTATGCAACTTTTATTTTCTTTTTTTTCTTCTATAGTTTAGAATAGAAATTTTCGTAATCCGATTGTGAATGAGCTAATTTAGAAGTGGAGTTAAGTCTTTTGGGAGAGAGGATTCTTGTTGGACGGTTCTTGTAGAAATTTTAGTATGTTACTTTATACTAATTTAGTGGTGTTGCCACTATTTCTTATGAAAGCTTGTTCTTTTCTAGTAGGCACTCGGACATTAACTTAGTTGAAATGGGCAGTAATGTCGTTAAAGATGAAGACACAGCGACTTTATTAGAGGGAGCTGTACAGTCAGGATCCCCAAAAGCTCAAAGCTTAACTGCATCATCATCAATTATCCGGTTAGTGATTCATGCTGCATATGTTTGCGTTTGCTTAAATTATGTTTCTATGGTTCTGTCTTTGCTTAAACCTAGACTAACGTACTTGGTCTTTTCATTATTTCCTCAGATTCCTTTTGATGGATGAGTTTTTCCTTATTGAAAACCGTTTGACACTTAGAGCAATGTAAGTGATTTATATGATACGAGAAAATTATTTGTATATGCAGATCAAACTGTTGACTTTCATTTCCTTTGCCCTTTCTCTGTTACAGGTCTGAATTTGGTCTCCTTTTGGCTTATTTTTATCTTTGCGACCGTACGGATCTATTTGGCTCATCTAAAAAGGTTGATAATTTCATCAGGTTACATCCTCTTTGCATTTCATTAAATAACTGACAATTATTTTGTGATTGGGTAGTCGATTCAGCAAGGAGATAGTGCAGCACATTGGCATGGCTGTTTAGCTTTATCCCGACTGTTATCTTCATAGTGTTTTGATGAAATTGCATCTTTTGAGGCATTTCTTATTTCTTTTGTTTCTGTAGCCATGATAGGCAACCTCACATGGTTTTCCTATATTAGGTTTTCGAACAGTTACAAGGAAAAGATTGCAGTAATTATTTGCATTTTTGTCACAATACTTGCTAAATATTGGAAACCCATTTACTAAAGTCATGTGGGAAAAGATATAACAGGAGAAGAAAATAAAAATTGATCACTCTATTTTTGCATGATGAAAATAAACATAATTAGCTGAAAAGTGGAAGGTAGTAGTATAAACACTCTAATTCCAATCTTCTGTATTTTCCTGATTTTTTTTTAAGCTCCCTCTATTTTGAAAACTTACACACATTCCCCTGAATTTTCATGTTTTTGAAATAGAGGGGTGGTTCATGTGAAATAAGGAAAATCATAACAAGGTTGAACCATTTTTCTGAAAGAATTAATGACAAATGATTGAACTCAATCATTCAGGGGGGGACTCGGAGAAAAATGACCCAGGAATAACACCTCAGCAAATACCCTATGTTAATGGTTGTTGACTCGTTGGTTTGAAAAATTTAGTATCCATATTGTGTCTGCTTTATGCATGAAAGCAGTAGCATTTCTTTGCAAATTTTGCTTTTTCATATGGTACTATGCATTAGTGATATTATTTTTGGTCAACAATTGTCTGTTTTTGCAGAGTTACAACAGGGATCTCTTCATATTTCTGTATTTTCTTCTCATCATAGTTTCGGCAATGACTTCCTTTAAGATACATCATGACAAGTCACCGTTGTCTGGGAAATCCATCCTTTACTTAAATAGGCACCAGACTGAAGAATGGAAAGGCTGGATGCAGGTTGGTCACTTTTTTGGTTGACATTACTGAATTAGTCTCATCATTTTATGATGGACTGTCTCTGTAACTCCTGAATTATGCTAGTTCAGACCCAGAATTAATACATTTAATGTTAAGGAAGCACAATTCAGTTTTGGTCTAGATTTTTCATCAGATCTTCTGATTACTGAACTCTTACTGTACTTACATTTAATATTGTAAATTCTTCAAATTATAACATTCCATATTTCTATTATTTGACATCTGTAACAGGTTTTGTTTTTGATGTACCATTACTTTGCTGCATCTGAAATCTACAATGCAATCCGTTTATTCATTGCTGCATATGTTTGGATGACTGGATTTGGGAACTTCTCATATTATTATGTCCGTAAAGATTTCAGTCTAGCAAGATTCGCTCAGGTATGCCATTTCCTATAACTATAAAAAGTTGTAATATTTGGCCTCTACTAACAGTAACATCTTCCTTACCTTTTCTGGTTGAGCAGATGATGTGGCGGCTTAATTTCTTTGTATTTTTCTGTTGTATTGTACTTAACAACAGTTACATGTTATACTACATCTGCCCTATGCACACTCTTTTCACTCTTATGGTTTATGGGGCACTTGGTATTCTCAACAAGTACAATGAGATTGGGTCGGTCATTGCTGTAAAAATCATTGCCTGCTTCTTGGTTGTTATCTTAATATGGGAGATTCCTGGAGTCTTTGAATGGGTTTGGAGTCCTTTTACTTTCGTGCTCGGTTAGTAGCATTTATGATATTTGACTTCACAACTGAAAGCACTGCAGATCATGTTCACTGGAATGTTTCTCTAAATGTGCAGGTTATACGGACCCAGATCCTTCAAAATCACATTTTTCCCGCTTGCATGAATGGCATTTTCGCTCAGGGCTTGATCGCTACATATGGATAATTGGAATGATTTATGCTTATTATCACCCAACTGTAAGTTTCTCATTTTATGTTTTTGAAATAGTTGACATTTAGATCCATCCTCTCTGGGATTGAGTGATAATTATGAAGTGGGAGAATATGGCTGATCTCTCTCTTTTCTATCTTTTTCCTAAGTTGAGTATCTTAATGGCTGTCACATGGCATCATATAGGTTGAACGATGGATGGAGAAATTGGAGGAAGCAGAAATCAAGCGCAGAATATCAATTAAAGCAGCTGTTGTGCTGATATTTTCACTGGTATTATGCTTTTAAACAGGATTATTATATTAGAATATCTTTGATTTGTATTGTTTTATGGCCCTGAGCATTTGAATTAATTTCTAGGTGGGTTATTTATGGTTTGAATACATATACAAGCTGGACAAGCTTACATACAATAAATACCATCCTTATACCTCGTGGATTCCCATAACGTATGTCCAACTTTCCTTAATATATCCTTTTTTTCTTCCTTTTTTGGGGCCTTGATGAGAGATATTCAAGACCTTTCTAGTTATTAATGTGCCACTTTTTAATTTAACAGGGTTTACATATGCCTGCGGAATGTTACACAAAGTTTTCGTAGCTATACATTGACCCTTTTTGCGTAAGTTTTCTTTGTATTTTACTCATCTCTCTTTCTGTCTCTCTGTTCCTCTCTCTCACACACAGACACACTCAAAACACACATGGACATGCATTCATATTTAATGAGTTAGTTTATTGCTAAATAATGTCAAGTATTTGTCACTTCCTTTACTTTGTTTTAAGGCTGGCAATTTGTGAATTATTTCTCTAATGCTTCTACTTTCTGTTAGATGGCTTGGGAAGATTACACTGGAGACTTACATCTCCCAGATCCATATCTGGTTAAGGTACTCACAAGCTGATATCCTGCTTTTTAGCATTTATTGATGTTTTAGCAGATATCATGCATTTTCATCCTTACAAGTTGAGCGGTGTTTAGTGCATAAGTAGTTAGAGGGTGTTTATTTCTGTTTTAAAAACAGTTTTCTGTTTTTAAAAATAAAATATAATACAATCTTAGTTTCCTGATGCATATTGGATTCCTAGGATGAGGGTTATGATTTAAGTTTTGGGTTTAGGGGCTGTAAAGCATTTCACTTGTTTTTTTTTTCGGGGCAGGGAGTTGAATTTCTGAAAGTTTCTTTGTTGTGTATATAACTTATGAATAATTTCATTTATATCAATTTACCATACCATAAGATTTCGAATTTGTACTTACATGATAACAAGAAATATGCTTTGCACTATAAATGGGGGAATGAGGATTTCACCTGTTGGATGATTACTGAGGGGTGTCAAATTTTACTAAAACTTGGTAGCTTTTCAGTTTTAAATTTTTATTGTTACTGAATGTCAAAAGGGAAAAATGCTTAACTTGCATCTGTGCAAAACAACTTGCATGCTTGATGTCAATTATGTATGCGTGTAATTATTTTTTATGGGAATAAATTAATTCTTTCCTTTTATGTCATTTGCTGATTTTAGGTCAGGTGTTCCAGATGGTCAACCCAAATTGTTGCTTTCCTTGATCCCAGGCTACCCGATGTTGAACTTCCTCCTTACTACTGTCATATATGTTGCAGTAAGTGAAAAACAAAAAAAAAAACTAGACGGAATTGAGATTTTTCATGTCGATTGATTCTCAATTTAACATTCTTGCAGATATCTTATAGGCTCTTTGAGCTGACAAATACACTAAAAATTGCATTTGTGCCCAGCAAAGACAACAAGCGTCTTACATATAATTTAATCACAGCATCAACAATCTCAGTTGTTTTATATTCTTTGTCCTTCATCTTCCTTAGGATACCTCCAATATTGGTAAGTGTTATTAAGATAACTTGATCTGGTCTGAGTCAGTTAATTGTCCTTACATTATACTATTGAAGCAATTTGGTGTCAACTCTTTTAAGTTCTTACTTGCCTCCATACACAACACATAAGTACAAACGTGTATGAATGAATACACGCAAGATATGGGCATTCGGATTCCTTACATGTAAACATAATGGTCACATAGATTATAATGAGTCTGGTAAGAAAGAAAGCTATATGCATGTTTGCCCAAATGAATAATTGTGGCGCATCTGGTGTTGTATGGGACAATTTGAGTATATAATGGGTAGAAATATTTCATGGAAAATTAGGAAGCTACGCTGAAAGTATAAATGAGGTGCACCTACTTTTGCAAAACATTTTTAATTTATCGTTTTATATTTGTATTTTTTGCATTATACATTTATCAAAATCTAAAATAGTCATAAATATGCAGGTTTGAGAATTTAAGCATGTATATATTGTTACAAGCTTCTATGATAGTTGCCTGTGGACACTGAAGATACTGGGCAGCTGCTACACTTGGTTTGTCTAGGCAAGTCTTTACTGAAAGTTGCATTCATCACTTTTTTCCAAGTTACAGAAGTAAACTTCTGCTCCCTCCAACCCACTTCCACCCAAAAAAAAAAAAAAAAAAGTAAATTCTAATAGGCTAATAGCTGCAAGTTATTGTATAGATAAGAGGGGATGGCATCCTTTTTTTCTCTTTAAAATATCATGCAACCTCAGTTTTTTGTTAAGAAATATTTTGTTGTGTTGTAAAATAATCGTGCTTGTAATATCATCTACCATTATGTCAGTTAGTTCGTGGTATTTTTAGCTGCTGTACTCCATTGGAACTGTTACTATAGAAACTGCCATTTGATGGATAAACTGCTTCAGCAGTTCAACTGGGTCAAGTAGTGGTTTTCTTTTGAAAGGAGACTAAACATGCTTCTAGGCTTTAGAATTATGCATGCGGTTATTAACTTCTAATTTTTTTTTTGGCTAGTGGAAAATTCAAGCTTACATTTGTTCCTGCCTTATGTCGGGAGATGGGACAAGTTATTGCTGCTGACTGAACAACCATACATATAATACACCAAATACTTATGGTTCTAACAAAACAAAGGATGTTAATCCTGTCTTTTGAAACATAAGAGACTTGGTTATATTCGTTGTTTAATAAATGCAAATTTAGGCATCAAAGTGATCTAAAACATGCATGCACATTGAGGGTCAAAGAGATGTTCATTTTAAATAGTAAGAATGTACAAAATGTATGGAAGATCCAGATGATGAATTTGATTTTAATGCAGTTTTAATGTAAAATTACATTTTCAATTAATTAAAATACTACAGTTGACTTTCAAAAGAATTATTATATGTTAACAATTTTTACTGATATTGAGTAATAGTATAAACAATATGCATATTATACGTATATTTTAATTATTTTTTTGAATTTATGAAAGTTTTGAAACAGTAATTATAAAATAAAAAGAAACAGAAATTTGACTCAAATTTAAAAAATCATTCTTAAATTATCAATTAATGATAAAAAAAATATTTTCTGAGTAAACTCGTTTAAAGGAGCTAGTTTTAGATAGATGATAACAAAATGGAAGGTGGAATCTTGGGAAAAAAAATGATTAGTGGTACCGGGGAGCGATCTTTCCTTGATATTTGCACAACTATTATCGCACATCAACCAGAAGCTTCGTCGTAGAAAGCTGCAAGGAAGGCTTTAATTTAATTAAGTAATATCAAGCATACTAACAAAATAAGTTTAGAAAATTGCAATCTATCATCCTATCTCACATAACAAGCTTCAAGAGTCTTAGAGACCAATTAGAGAACACATTGGTTCACACCAGAGATTAAATTATTTCAGATGATACATAAACTAAGATAAGTAGAGCTTACAAAGATTAAAACAGTAAACATAATTACTGGTATCTAGTAACTAGTAACTAGATGTAGTAAATGCACTCTGGCAAGCAGCAACAGAAGCCAACAATTGTCTTCTGCATAGACGCTTCTCCGTCAAAATATATGAACAATGTCGTACGCAAATCTTTATTTTGTCAAAGAAGCATAAAATAAAAGCAAGGATTCAGGACGAGATAAATCTAACACGTTAAATTTTAATATGCTGTATTTTAGTAGGATTTCACTAATTTGGAGCAACTACAGTTAGGAATTACTTGTCGCCACCCTTTTTTTCTATTTGCACTCCCTTAAGTTTTAGTCTTTTTTGGTTATTTCAGAAATTAAATTTCAAATAATTTATAATCACTTCTAAAATTTAATACATTCCCATGACTTCTGACATTTAATTTCAAGAGTATTTCAGAAATTTAAATTTTCGGAAATAATGTATGTGGGTGTAAAAAGAAAGGCCCACTAAAGTCCAGACAGCCGTAGCTGTAAAGTCTAAGTGGAAAAGGAGTTGTTGAAGTGAGTAAATAACTTGGACCCAAAAAAGAGTGAGAAAATTACGAAGTATTCATTGTTGATATAAATGCAAGTGCATCGTAACCTGCTAAAATTTAAAGGTAAATATATCTTTACTTTCATACTTTAGAAGAGGTTTTCGCTTGACAATGGCTGCTCAAGAGCATCACAAAATTATTTCCACCATTTATTAACTACCCCTGAATTTAGTATTTGTATTCAAAATCCTAGTTAGCCCCAAATTGTATACATTTATGGATGCAATTTCGTTGAAATTTTGGAAAAACTTAATTACTCTTAAATGATAGTCATAGATAGGTATAAGTATTTTATTTGCAACGGATTTATGGCGTTGAATAAAGTGAATTAGCTGTCATACTTTACCAAGTTAGTTATGTAAAAGAGAAGGATACGTCCAAAACAGCACGAATGACTGCAGGGGATAAAGAAGGAAGTTAGAATACTGTGTGATGAAGAAGACACAAACACGATTAGGTAATCAAAAAATAAATTTACAACAAAATCAATAGCAAATTTCTTTATTTGACAAGTAATAACCAAATCAAACAACTGTTAAGATTAAGACCACAGAATAAAATAATGTCCAGAGAAGATCACTCAGTCTTCATTTTTTAGGCATTGAAGATGCTATCCTCCTATATGACCGTTTAAGCTATTATTTTGAATCTCAAACAAATAAAGTCATTGTGTTAATGTAGTTGCTGAATTCTAGATGACCATAGAAATTGAAGTGTTGTTTTGGGCAACGCCGGACAAATTGGTATGGTTGGGATTGCTGAATAGGTTGGTAATCTTTTACTCTAATATCCTTAAAGAAGAGTTAGATTCGGAGGGGATCATAGGCCACAGAGTGGGGGATATTCTCTCCAAGCATATTTTGTCTTGCTTCCCTGCATCAGTTTCCCATCCTAATTTTCTGCAACACTCAAGGTTCAAACACATTTTGGGGACTTAATCTTTTTTTCCCCTGCTTGTGTACGTATCTACTTTTCTTATCTAACAAACTTTCTTGTTTTATCAAACAAAAGATGTATGTCACTGTCATACACAAATCATGTCCAAAGGAAAAAATATATATATGAAAAAGGAAAAGAGAACCTACCATTAGACCACCTAGGAAGCCATCCAGTAATACTCTATTCCAGGAGTCAAAGTATGAGTGGATCGAAAATCTGGCTTTGGCTATAATCCCAAGTGAAGTAAGTGCCATGAGAAAGAAGTAAAAGACAAACCCTTTCAAGCTTGTGAACCCCAAAATTCCAGCAACAACTCCACCAATTATAGACAAAAATGTTCGGCTGCAACAGAGACAAAGGAAATATTTTGAAGGTGAACCTTAAATAAACAGTTTCTTTTAAAATGAAAAAAAATCCGCTACTTCCCCTAGTCTTCTATAAGAATTCTCTGCATATATATATATATATATATATATATATATATATATATCATGCATACTAGTGAGTGGTGACCATTTGCATTCAGAATCATTCCTGCCATTCATACTCAAATCCCTACCTCCATACCTCAAATAATTTTGGATTCTCTTCTCTCTCTGTAAGTAGATGTGTGGAACTGGTAGATAAAGAAAGGGACTCCCTGACACTATGTCCATCCCAAATATAATGCTCCTAACTAATTTAATGTATTCAATATAGTATTAAATATATCTGTTGACAAAACAAACCTGTAATATATAATTTTCATGTTGTTTTGAATATTTTCAGCATTAAAAGTCAGTAAATCATTCATGCCATCGCTTGATTTCTTCTCTGATGAGCCTGACTCAGAAGGCCTACCCATAATATCTACTTTGATGATATAATCCTGTAAAGGGAAATAGAATCGAATGATTTTAAGTAAATAAATAAATCATGTTGTTAGGTTTTTAAATAGACATGAAATGTCCATAACTGTTGTTCTGCCTTAACAACAAATAGTTTCAAAGGGGGTATGAGCTGATGCGATTGGACCTCAAAGTTTTGGATTCCAATTTATTACCTAAGTAGAGTCATTAACAACTAACAAGTATCACACACACAAACACTCACTCACATAAAGGTAAAAGTTCAGCTAAGTGGTATTCAAGTAAAACTTCTAAACTATGCAAAAAAACCAAATAAAAAAGACAGAACACCGCATATAAAAATTGTTAGACCTCTCAAATGCACTTTTGCTCCCTCAAAATGTACCTTGCTCACTATTTATTCCTTGATATAAATTAAGTTATAACTTCTAATTCAATTGTTCCAAAGTTATTTTACATTCTACTTTTTATATACCTTGTAGGGGCTCAGATGGAACAAGTTTGAACGATTCACAAACTGAACCATACAAATAATTTGAATTAGGGACTAAATCGCAAGTGAAGTACATTTCCAAAGATCAAAATATCCTTTTACTCTAAATTAAACACAGTTGCTATTGCAAACCCCAACCACGATTAAGGTTGGGGACTGAGATTATATAGTCGTTCAAAACGTGCAGTTCAATGCTAAACATTGAGAATCCAGATCTAACATCATGCTATGTACATTTTATGTTATTTGCACAAACATTGATGTTCAAACTTCAACACGAGACGCAAAATTTATTTAGAGGTAGTATTTGACGAGAAATTATTAATTTAATTCAACACGCGATTATGCGAAATATAACTCAACCTCTTAATTTGAAACCAAGTCAATGGCGGCTAATTACAAGCTACAGAACTTCTGATAGAATGCCAAAACCAGTTCAGCTTCTCAAATTGAATCGAATCGATAACCACAAACTGAACAGTCTTAAACTTCATAAACACATTCAGAGTGAATTTGAAACTACAAATTAACTGAGAAAAAGCAACTAGTCAGCATAAAATCCCTATCAAACCAGGTAAAAATCGAACTACGAAAGAAAGAAAATACGATTCGCAGAAAGAAATATTATTAACGGAATGATGAAGAAAATTGCGCAATGAAGATATGAAGACGAAGGACTCGCGAATGAGAATTGGAGAAAAGCTTACCTAGATCTGATGCTTATCCACTGTGATTGTTATCGTTGGAGTGGTGGAAGCACAACGATGCAGAACAATATTTTTTAAACTGTGATGGTTATGGTAAGTATATTTTTTAAATCATTATTATAAACAATATTTTTTAATAATATAATAGTTGACAACTAATTGATAATATAAAAAACTTTTATTCTAAAAGCATTCTGTTTAAATAAATAAAAATATTTTTTTAATTTTTTATCTGATTTAATCTGAATCTAACTCAAATTGCATATTTAAATGCGATAAATAAGTTTATTGTTGAAAATTTTTTATATACACATCGTTTTATTCCATTTATTCAAAAGATCAAGTTTTCTAAGACCCAATAAAAACTTTTGCGGAATTGCTTTTAAACCCAACATAATTTGGATCATTTTTTAAAACCCAACATGTGATGCAAAGGTAGACAATTGGTAATAGGATCAAGTAATTTCTATGATTGAACAACATGCTTACATATGATTGAATTTTTTTTGACCAAGTCAATATGGAGATTTTAATCCACCATGCTTGTTATATACCGTTAATCTGTACACACAAAACAACTAAATACTCCAATATTTTGAAAAATCAATAATTTTAAAGATAACATTATGATCAAGTTAATACTTTCTGATTTATAACATATGGTAATGAAATTAGGAAAAGAAAAACATTAGGCATGTTTATTTCCATTTTTAAAAAGTTTTTTGAAGCATCACATCTAATATGTTTTTCTTTTTACTATTCTTATCTGTTATTTCATATTATCCTTTTAAATTATGTCGTTAATTTAATCTAATTAAATATTAAAAAAGTAAGAATTCAGTAAAAAATGGCTTACTATAGAAAATATCTCTCCATTCTTTTCTTTTTTTTCAGGTCTCACATTTATGAAGTTCTCCATTCTTTAAAACCCAATATGTGATGCAAAGGTAGACAACTGGCAATAGGATCAAGCAATTTCTATGATTGAACACCATGCTTACTGTGAATGAATTTTTATGACTATGTCAATATGGAGATTTTAATCCACTGTGCCATGGTTAGTGGATAGAAGGAAATACAAAAGGATTGAAAGTATGTAGTCATCGAAGATGTACAAAAACAGGAAAGTTAAGGAAAAATTAATTAGAGAAAAAGAATTACGACAGTAATTTAGAATGATTCAACAAAATTAGACAGTCAAAATTTGAATTTGAATCATAGAATTGTTGATACCCAAGACAACGAGGGAGGAACCTCTCGATGAATCCATTCTTCTTACTTTCATTGAAAAAAATTATCTATTTATTTATCAACAATTTCACCTTTGAAAAAAATTCTACTAATGTTATATATGAAATCTAATTTTACCGAGCAAAAGAAAAATAATATAAAAATTTAATAGCAGATAAAAAATAATGTATTTAATTCATTCAAAGCAGCTTTTTATTCTAACACAATAACTCTCTTTAAAATAAAAATTGAATCAACCTAATAGATGATCAATAGTTAAGTATTTAAATAAAATAAATTACATACATTTGTTGCCGCCACAACTTTAGATATTAACCATTCTTTCAGTCTGAAACTAATCTTCTTGCAAACAAGTTGATGTATGCGTTGACATCTTACTCAGGACTTGACTTACCACATTGTCACTGACGTTAATCTAAACCATAAAAAATAAGAAAACATAAAGAAGAAACTTTTATGACCACAACCTACCCAAAAAAGAACACTAATAAGGAAATTTAAAAAAGAAAAGGAAACATACTTTTCCCTATAACCAACAGCTTCAGTTAAATCAAGATTAATAAATAGTTTGGTCCCATTATAAGCATTGGATATGCCAAGTGTTCCTGAGACAATATTCTATGTCAAATGAAGGAAGAAAATAAAACAAAGTTTCAATGTAACCAAATGTTTTGATTTTGCAAGTTTGAAATATCACAACAGGTGCAGATCACAAATTTTGATCTCTTGTGCAAATAATAATAACAATAATACCAACAATGAACACGATGAACTGCAGATACTTAGCCAAGTTGCAATTGGACATCATAACCTTGTCTTGAACTGTGTTCATACGAAAAAGGCATATTCTCATCTGGTAGCATAATCTGCATTGCCAAGAATGCAATCTTCCTTTTACACGTCAAACTTGACACTCACGACACCAATTGCCTTTCAACCTTGTTGATCAACATTTTATTCATGTAAATCAGCAAAACAAGTTTGAAGGCAATTTTTTATTTAAATAAGCAAGGTAACATCCATAAGCACACAGAAGCATACACAGAAATCTTTATTGGCCCCTGCTGTGGAAATCTAATTAAATTCTCCTTCAGCCATTGCTCTTGTGATAGGACATTGAATGAAGGGATATCATAAGCATCACTAACATTATCTGCCACACATTCTCAGCATCTGCACCTTGACTTGTATGCAGAAGCTGTATTATGAAAATCTTTCGACAGAACAATAATTGAATAAATTTTTTAGATGTAATGCAAAAGCAATAATGTTCAGAGACCTGCAAGACACTTGGTTCACTTCAAAGTTATCACAAACCAAATTATCATATATCCCCCAAATGTGGCAACTGCCTCAATCTTGCATTGCAAACTTGAAAAATGCATTTGGAGCAACAGAGGATCAATACCATCCAGATTGTTATCATCAATAAAGAATTCGTATCCAAGTTTCCTTGAGAGTCCTCCAGGCATTCCACTTCAAAATTAAACCATTGAACAAAAGAATCATCTACTCAATTAAGGATCATTTTAGGGTCAATTATGCCACAAAGAATTCACGTTGCAGTTCTATACACGCTGCATATCTTCCCCAAGCTTAGTAATAGAAGTTCATTTTGAAATAGCTCGGCATAGCATTCAGCTTTTACATCATAAATATGATTTCACACTGAAAATTCCTTTAATGATAATCAAGGCATCTATCAGCATTTAAAATTTGGTAAAAGAGAATTTATCTTGCGTCGTTAAGGCTACAACATACCATCCCATATTTACACTACGAACAAAATCTAACACTGCAATTTGTCAATTCCATTTAGGTACATAATAACCAAAAATTTCCTGTTAAGAACAAAAACGCATATTGAAATTGCATTTGGGGTCATCAAAACATGCAGGTTTAATATACTCAACTTGGAAAAAAAAATAATCTAGACCACAAATTCATATTAGAATTGCATTTAGGGTCATCATACCGTCCAGGTTTTATATTGGAAATGCATTTGGGATCAAACACAATATCATTTATACAATGAGTATTGAATTTATATTGCAGTTCTATTTAGGGTGCATGTGCCAGATTTAAAGTACCAGTAAAATTCATTTTCAAATTTCTTACAGCATAGCATATAGGTTTTACATCATGAATAAGATTTCACAATTAAGTTTCCTTTAATAATCGACAAGGCATCAAATTTTGTAAAAAGGGATTTATCTTGCAGCAGGGTCTTTAAGGCTCCATTATACCATCCCAAATTTACACCATGAACAATAAAGTCATGCTGCAATTTGGCAATTCCATTAGGTGCGTACCATCCCAATTTTCCCATTAAGAACAAAAATTCAAATTGGAATTACATTTAGGATCATCATACCGTCTGGGATTTGTAGCATGAATAACGAACACTATAGATTCCATTAGATTCATCAAGCCACCCCTTGGAAATAGGAATTCATCCAGCTATCTGATTAGCATCTTATTTCGCATGACGAATAAAGAATTCATTTCAAAAAGGCATCTTCACTTTTCCAATTACACAATCAAGATCAACTTTCTTGGTTTTGAATACACTATTCATCTGGCCTGCATATTCTTGAATAATCAAGAATGGGAAGAAGGGTAACCCAACTATAAATTCAGTAGCCGTTAAATATAGGAACCTTGACAAAAATCTAGAATACAAATTCATATTTGAATTGCAATTAGGATAACTATACCATCCAGGTTTTTATATATAAAAAAGGAACACAGTAGAGTGCGTTAGATTCATAGACATCTCTTCGAAATAGGATTTCATCGAGCTGTCCAATTCAGGGTCATTAGCTCAATGATTCCATCCTTTTGCAGATGATGAATAAAGAATTCATTCCACGGCGGCATCTGCACTTTTCTGGTTACAAGATCAACCTTCTTGGTTTTGAATACCCTATTCAAGTAGCCTGTGCGCATTCTTGAATAACCATGGATGAGACAAAGGGTAACCCCACAATAAATTCGATAGGAGTTAAATATAGGCAAAAATATAGAGCATAAATTTGTATTTGAATTGCATTTGGGGTAATTATACCATCCACGTTTAATATTAGAAATGCATTTAGGGTCAAACAAAATATTATGTACGCAATGAATAATGAATTATATTGCAGTTCTAATCAAGGTGCATGTCCCAGTTTTACAGTACCAATAAAATTCATTTTGAAATTTCTCCAGCACAGCACTTGGGCTTTGCATCATGAATAAGATTTCACACTTAAGTTTCCTTTGATGTAATGATCATCAAGGCATCCAATATGCATTTAAAATTTTAATAAAAATAATTTATCTGCATTAGGGTCATTAAGGCTCCAACATATCATTTCAGAATAATACTGTGAATGAAAAATCCAAACTGCTGTTGGACAACTCCATTTAGGTTCTCATACCATCACAATTTTCACATTATGAACAAAAAAATCATACTGAAATTGCATTTTGAGTATCATACCATCCAAGTTTTATATAACAAAGAGTTTACACTGTAGTGTCCACTAGGGGGTCAAGTAACATTTGATCTTGTAGTCAAATTTATTGTCATTAAGGTTCCAAAATAGCATTTTTGCCAGATGATGATTAAAAAACTCATCTCACAGCGGCATCTTCATTATTCCATTTACACAAACAAGATCAAACTTCTAGGGCATATGTACCTATTGACAAGTCAGCACTCTCGTGAACAATCAAGAATGAGAAAAATTGTAAACATTGGTCCCATGAAATCAATTAAAATTCTGTGAAAAAAGAAACAGTTATCTTGCAACAGGGTCAGTAGGGCTCCATC